GATAAAGTTCACAAATTTATTCCCATGAGTCCTAATTTGACTGCCACCCAACTTGCACCATGAATATATTCATTTATTCCGCTTTAGACAAAAGCTCTGCCACTGCCAAAATCATACATCTTCTGTCACATGCTCTACATCAATATAAATCATCTTTGGCTGTCCATTGAGCTGACAACGAATCTCTTAATGTATACAAATCATATTTTCCAATTTCAGTGTAGTCCAAATACTAGTATAACCCTCCACATTTCCCTCGATCCCAAGAGCAGCGCCCAATTCACGTAGCAAATCACTTTACAACTGTCAGACAAACAATGCCAAAAACCAATGGCCAAGAGAGGATTGGGTTGGGGATGATGCTGTGGCAAAGTGGGCGGTGCCAGGGGGATGCCAGTTGAAAGATATCCTTCACCGGATCCTGTCCAGGCATTTGACTTTATCACGCAAATTGATTGCTTTGACCCAAAACGATTGACGAAATTTGATTGATAACTTATTAAGTTGGCCATTGTCTGAGTGGGTTTTTGGGAGGAGGCTGTGAGCGGGGTGTGCCCCTATCTTTTACGGTGGGGTATGTGTGTGTTTGTGGCATATATTCTGGAAAGGAGGTTAATGTAGATATGGGGTTGAGAATAAAAACCTAAGAAGACTATCTTTTAATGTTTTTTAAGTAGATTTTAAAGAAGGAACTACTTGGGAATTTTAGAAAAGGAAAAATAATTAATTAAGTTATGTTTTCTTATGTCATTTCTTTTACTTTACCTTTTCTAACAACATTCTTTTAATTTTAAAATAAATCCCTTAATAAGTATCTTATTAATTAATTACCCCTTTTCATTTTTGCTTTAACTTTCAACCCCAAAATATCTCCCTTAATGCGTCTCTGCTGTGTCTGGGCCAATTTTGCATGCTGGCAAATGTTTTGTGTGTGTGAGTTTTTGGCTCTTTTTCGAGTCACGCATGAGTGAATGGCTAATAAAGATATATATACAAGATGCCAGCTGGAAGACTTGCCTCCTCCTTTACTTTTTTATCTGCACTTGCCCAGCAGCAGGTTTCGGGCCTGTAAAAAAACAAGCACAAAGATTTAAATCCACGAATATATCACTTTTGTTGTGGCTCACATAAAAATAAAAAAAAAAAAAACAGAAAACATTCCAGTTAGCTAGCTGAAATATTTTTAAAAACCGCCCAAAGGCCAGACAAGACACCCGAGAGCCAAAGAAATTATTGGCCGGACTTGAGCACCAACAAAATAAGAAAAAAAAGCATCAGCATCAACAACAAAAAATGCTAATTCAAAACAAGCAGATTTTGCGGTTTATGCAAATTTCCCTCAAACCAGACCCAAGACCCAAACAAGTCATAACAGCAAAAGCAACAGCCACAAAGATGCCTCTCGCTTGTGTATATAAATATATATTTGTGTTAAAAAATATAAAAATAAATAAAGATTTAATGCTTGCAGGCCAGAAGAGTCAGAAAAGTAAATTACAAAATCTGTGAAATTACAAAAGGCAACAAAGTATATTAAAGGAGGTGGCCAGGTTTAAGGATATTCTGTAGAATTTGTAAATTTGTAAATACCGAAACAAATGCAAAACCATGTTTACATATTTAATAGTACCTAAACTCCTTAGTGTTTGCTAAACCAACAACAGATTGAATATATTGGCCAGCAAACTTAATTAAAGATTATATTCACATCCTGATAATAAATCATGTTACATCCCTTAGTTCAGCAAAAACACAACCACAAAATGTTGTTGCCAAAATACAATCATGAAAAACTTAAGTGAAACGTGTGTTTATTTGTTGCTCTGATGCGTCAAACTGTGCAAAAGGCTATTTTGACTTGGCCCCCAAGACATTTAGCTTTTGGGCCAGAAAAAATGTTCAAAACTGCCAGAAATGCCTTTCTTTTCAAACTGCGTCTTCTACTTTTTTGCCTTTTCCGTCCTCTTATGTTTATTTAACACACACACACACATTCGCACACATAAAAGCCAAAATGAGTTTGGCCCAAAGAGCAATAATTCATTTTGACTTCCATTCTAGCCTGGCTCTGATGGAAAACCTTTCTCCCTCAAATTGAATTCAAACTTAAACATCATTTGGCTATTTTGAAATTGAAACGATTTCGCAGATGTGTGTGTGTGGATATTGATTACATTTTATATTTTACCAGGCAATTCTAACATTTTTTCTGTTTATTAGTTTGACTTGATTTATCTCTGGGTTTTGGCTTTGTTTACTTTTCCTTTGCACTTAATGTGTGAAACGCTAAAAAGTCGTACACAAAATTGCTATTTATTTCCCCCCCTGGGTAAATATTTGCTGTATAGAAATGATAAGAAAATACAAACAGGACGTAGGAGAGTGCTAGCTTGTCTGCAAAATTAAATCCATTTATATTTATGCAAATTCAGTGAGTGAATTTCATGGAATTTATGGCTAATCTGGGATTTCCATTACGTTTTCAATTGATCAAATTGTTAAAGTTAAAATTGATTTACTTTTGTTAAAGTCAATATTTTATCATTTTCTGATTTGAAAACATTTTATTTACATTTCTCTGTGTGAATTTATTCAAAGCTTTGCAACTATTTATAATTTTTTTGTTTTTCTTCAATTATTTGTCTTTCATATTTTATATTTCTATCACCATTTAGTATAACAAAAAACTACAACTTTTCTATTGTTTGATTTTGGTGTTGGAAATGTTGCAAAACTTTTCCTAGAGCCGCATATTTTTTCTGCTTTTTGGAGGGGTGTGAAAAGCCACAGAATGGAAATGCCACCCCATCCCCCATATGCAATAAATAATTTTCATGCACAAAACTAAAGTTTTTGGGGGGCGTGGCAAATCAAAAAGTTAGCATTACCCACTATTAATATTAATCACATCACATATCTTTTGGTTTCTTTTTAGGTACGTCTGCAAAAGTTTTTAAAGCTTTGAGTTATTGGATCCTGGGAATCCGCGCTGCGGCAGATAACATAGTGCGGCAATCGAAGTTGGTTATGGGGTAAGTGAGACGTGGAAATTGGCTCAACAATTTGGCTCAAGCTCAACACTTTTCCCGCCAGACCCCTCCCCCCTAGACTGAAGCCCCACATAATGTGACCTTCAAAGAGCGACAACAATGGCGCATCATCTTCCCATGTGCCGTGTCTGTCGCTTTTTTTTGGGTCATTTCCGTGATTTGGGTTTTGGCTTTTGCTTTCCACAATGTCGAGAGTTGGAGAGACTTCCGTCTTAGCCTTGCACTCAGACCCCAATCTAGAGTGTTTACTGTTTACACTCATTTTCGTTGAAATTTGCATTTTAATTTATTTGCCCAATGTCTTTGTCTTTCTCTCTGTTTGTTTTTTTACACTATCTGAGGCAGAGTGTCCATTGCACAATTCATGGCCCTAAAAATCGATGCAGAAAATAAAAGAAGAAAAGAATACTTCACTACTAGCTTCTGTCTGAAATTGTAATACCCTTCTAGGGTAAACAATTTTTATATAAAAAGAAAGAAAATTAGTATAAAATTATTTTATATTTCTTCAATAATACTACACTATAAAAACCTCTTATTTTAAAAGGGAAAAATAGTATAAATTATTTTATTTTTCTTTCTTTTCTCTGCTTTTATATTCAGTTATTGGTGTTGCTGTCATTTGGCAACTTAGTCCATTTCTGTTTACATTTTGCCTTATTTTCGCCTTCCGGCTTTTCCCATTTTACTTGCAATTTATTCACTGACCTGTTTTCAATTGAAAATTCGCTGCTTTTGGTCTCTTTTGTACATTCTGAAGCGAGTGCTGCTGCCAGTAATTAATTTCAGCATGGCTCTAATGGCAAGCACTTGTTTTTACCAATTGCAAAAGGCGAGCTCATAATAGCAATGCCAAATGCACAAAGGAAAGGTGTTGGACAAATTCTATTGAGTTTTTAGGTATTTAAAGAATTTATTAAATGATAATAATATTTTAAAGAATTTTTTAAAAGTGCTGAAGTACTTTTTATAAAATTTTAACAAAAAGTACTTGTAACTTTTTATATTTATTTATATATCTTTGATATCTTGAATTCATTGAACTTCCAATTGTTTATAATCCCATAATTCAATTATTCATATTCAATATGTAAATGTCACGTCACTAATATGCTGAATAATTTAAAATTTATGCTAAAGGAAGTCCGCCCTTTTAGTTAACATTTGAATAAGGTTAAATGACAATTTTTTTGAATTTTTGTTCAACCTTTTTTTGCACATTCCTGCTGCTGTCCTTCGAGCAAACACAAACACACGCCCAGGACTTTATTTATATTTATTCCCGTCATGTTTTGGCGCCGTTTTGCTTGTTTCAATTTATGGCAAATTTATGCATTTAATCGTTAGCCTATTAAAACGATCCCTGACCGCCCATTCAAGTCATTCATTTAAAACCTCAGAATCAGGACCAGAAATAAACTCTCAGTTGGTCAGAATGAAAATAAAAAATGTATATTTATTTATCAATCGCTGCCACAAGCACGCACGCAAAGCTAAAATAATATGGTTATGAATTTCATACTTTATAGGTAACTGCCTCTGTAAAAAGCTTTTCAATAAAAAAAAGTGCAATCAATGATAATTTTAAAGTGTCGCACACACACACACCGACGACTATGGCAACTTGGAAATTAATGCTTATGGCCAAAAAGGTCCATTAACATAAATCGTTTACAGTCAACATATTTTAATACATTTTTCTGGCAGTTTCATGATTCGATGAAGTTAATATTAAAGTTCAAGAGGAAATTAAACAAACCGGATATGAGTTGAAAAGTAATGGATTTTTAGTAATTAATTATATTCTTTTAACAGGGAATTTAGCAAAGGAAATTTGTGTTAAGAGGAGTAATATATTTTTAATTAAATTTAAAAGAAAGCCCAAAGCCAGAAGAGGGATTTCTAGGTACCTGAAAGTAGAAGGAAAGTAAAAAACAACAAATCTTAAAATATTCCTTACAATCTCTATAATTTTGACAAGCTACCTAGAATGACAGTCTGATTATACATGTAAAAGCCACTTAAATTTCTGTATAAATACTCCTACTTCCAACCCGTGTTCTTCTTGGAGAGCACAACCTTCTGCATATGCTCGTTGGCCGTGTGTGTGGTATGGCTACCGCCCGCATGCCTTACCGTACACTTAACCATGGGCACACCAGTGCCCTTAGTCCAGGCACTCGTCGAGGTGGGGAACTCGTCCTTGCGATAGTAGCCCATGATGCCCGACTTGCGGATCTGGCCCAGTTCGTAGGTGACAATGGGAGCCAGACTGGAGGAGCCCTTGGCATTCGGCAGAGATGGCACCTTGGAGCGCTCCACACTGCGCATCACACAGGTGGTATCGCAGGAGAGACAGGACAGATCCGGCAGGACCTTTACTCTGCCAGCTGCAGCGGCACAGTCATCATTGGTCATCTCCATATACTTCTGCAGGGCCTCGGCAATCGTGTGCACTCTCTTCTCAAGAATTTCTCGGAAATCCTTGAGACTGAGCTCCAAAGAATCAATGCCCATGGTATTGCGCAGATTGTCGATGATCTGAAGGACATTCTTCTCGTTCAAATTGATGATGTGGCGCACCTCGCAGAATAATTTCTCTATCCTTGCCTTGTACTCTTCCATCTGCTCCAGGGACACCTTAGTGGCCAGCTGCGCGAAGTTCACCTTTCCGGCCAGCAGCAGCTCCCGCTCCGCCTTGTCGCTCTTCACAACGTTCATATGGTCCACGAACACTCTCAAAGTGGCTATCTGAGATAATGCGTCGGTCACGCGAGACGCCACACTATTTGTGGTCTCCCGACCGGAGGCTATGGAGAGTCTGATATCCCGCACAGAGTCCTGCAGCTCCTTGATCATGTCCATCACTTTCTGAGAGTCCTGCTTCAACAGGGCAGCCGCAAAGTCATTCATCTTGTTAGACATTTCACAGAATTGCGACTTGAGTTCCAGCAACTCGGTGAGCAAGCGATCGGAGGCATAGCAGACGGGTGGCTCCAAGCCCATGTCCTTATCCTCCTCGGGTTTCTCCGAGGATATTTCCGTGGAAGTTTCCTTAACCTCCTCTTCGGCCAGGACATCACCTTCGTCCTCGCCGGCGATCTCTTCACTCGTCCAACTGACGGACACCTCATCGGCTGTGGTTGCCATTAGCACTCGCAATTGCTTGGCAATGTTGCGAAGGTTCTTGATCCTCTGTGGATTCGGTTTGCGATCGATCAACAAGTGGGTCACATTGTTCACCTGATCCATGGTGATCTTCAGCTGCCCCGTGATGCTGTTCACAAACGATTGCAGTTCGTTGGTAGCTAGCTCCTTTTGCAGTTCCATTTTGGAGACACGTTTCTCCAAACGCATTACGTTGCTGACCAGACTACTATCGCCTCGAGTGGACGAAACGTGGGATATGTGCGTCAAGGTTTCGTTGGATTTTTTTTCGGATTTTGTATCGAGGTTCTCCGCCGAAATAGTTCGAGTTGCATGCTCGGAACGCTGCGCCTGTAAAGATCGTGCTGGAGATACTGCTGCTGGAGATTTTGCTGCAGGAGATACTGCTGCTGGTTCTGGTTGTGCTTCTGGCTGTGCTTCTGGTTCTGGCTGAGCCGCTGGCTCTGGTTCTGGTTCTGGTTGCATTTCTGCTTCTGGTTCTGCTGCTGGCGGTTCTTCTTGTGCAGGAACAGGCTCTGCCGGGGCTTCGGCCTCGGGCTCTGGCTCTGGCGAAGCTTCGGCAACTTCTGGCGCTGCAGAATCCTCTGCCGGAGGCTCTGGTGCCTCCTCCGGAGCTTCCTCTGGAGCCACTTCTGGTGCCTGCTCGACTGACGCCTCTGCCACAGGCTCGGCTGCAGGGGCTTCCTCGGCATCGGCACCAGCAAACATACGAAACTTTGATGATTTGGCCAGGGTCACTAGAAATAATTGAAAAATCCAAAAATTGCAAGATTCTCCTTAAGGCCAAGTCAAGTCCCTATTAACCCCTCCCACACTCACACATACTGCTCTGCAGGCGCACATTGCTGGTCATATAGTCCTCCTGCTCTACAACCTCATCCAGGACATCCAATCTCTGGCCAAAGCAGGTGAGCAAGACATGCAAAGCATAAAAGTTCACATGTCCTGATTCTGGCGAACCAATGGCCACGTCAATAAGCTCCTTGTAAGTGAAAGTCATTTGGAATGAAGAAATTTTTGTTACCCGTAAAAAAAATAATAAATAAACTGTTAACTGAACCGAACAAGCAGAGGCCTAGGAATATACTAAATAACTAATTTTAAAGGAAACTGACATTTCAGAGACATTTCTCAGGACATAAAAATCAAGGCTTGGTTAATAAAAAATTATTTTAAATTGTTATTTCCTGTTTCGTACTGAAATTAGGTAACTAACCATCAAGTTAAATCATTAAATTAAACAAAAATAATGTTATTCATTATGCTCACTTAAATTGGGTTACTCAATTCCCGTTTATATTCCGCAAAAGCGATTAAAATTATGTGTGGGTAAATACGAAATGCGTTTTCCTCGAGCTTCTCCTTTAACGTTGCCGGCGAAAAATGCTTCACAGCTATTAGGGCTTAATTAATTTTTACACCATTCCGTGTACAATATTGGCTGCCCTGGCAGTTATTATGATTGCGTTCGTTTAATGAACATCATCAGCGCGGTTAAGGTTAATTTTATGGATGCTGCCTGCGTTGCTGCTTGTTTTATTTTTCGATAAAAAGATGCAAAAAATGCTAGTGGAAGAGGAGATGATGCAATCAAGTGGTTAAACCTTGGGCAAGCGGCCAAGACAATGTCTTATTCTCAATCCGATTGAGACATTTGGCCAGAATTAATGTTTCAATTAGTGGTGAGCATAGTAAGCAGAGGTCTTTGCCAGATTTATGGCTCTGGAGACTTGGTTCTTGGCTGAACAATTCTATTACCTTTGCCAGAGCAGCGAAAACATTGCACAATCTACCATACTCTATGAGAATGTGGAGAAAACAGACAGACAGCAGTAGGGGAAATCCCATTTGTCATGCTTGCAATGCCATCCCTATGGGTCTAGATTTTCTATATATAGATAGATATATGTACATATATGCTGGGCACTGGGAGGATGTCGTCAATGTTTGTGGCCTCGTAAAATCTAATTTAAATGCAAACGCAAATGTCAAAAATTGTAGAATTAAAAATCACATACGGTTTGATTCAGTCAGACAGCGACACATTCCCAGTTTCAGTTCAACTATTGGCAAGGAAATGGAGAAAGGTGGCGGCTGACGGGGCGTATGCGCAACATATTTTCAACAAACTGTCACATCGCGTATACGCAATCAGTCGGCAGTCAGTCAAGAGGATGCCACATATTGGTACAAATTAAAGGATATAGTAAAGTTTAAAGAATAAAGAGATCGAATTAAAAAAATGAAAAAGGAAAGGCTATGGGGAATTTTGTAGTAATAATTTCATTGAATTATATCACATTGTTTAATTAATGCAGGTTAAAATATAATGTTTTTATAATAAAACCGGTTTTTTAAAGTCTGGCTTACCCCATTCTGCAGCAGGGTATTAAAAAAATATCAAAAATCCTGCGTTTGAACGGTTTTTACATCAAATGTCATCTATGTTGATTGAACTGCCTGAAAGCTACTCCTCAAACCACGCCAAACACATGTACACTTTTCCCAATCAGAAATAACAAATTTTTTGTATCGATAGGAAGCTAAATTTCATCAATATCAAATGCTGAAACACCAATAAAAAGTAGCAAAAAAATATGGACAACAAAATATTTTAAAAATAGTGTAGGGTTTTTGCTGTCATCAGATTATGGGTGTCATCCTGACGAACAAACAGTTTAAAGCCGAGAAGTTATAAATAAAGTTTGATCTGCGAATATATTGGGTGAATAACTTATGGTAACTGGTATCAAAATGCGTAGGATTCCATTTCAAAGCCATGTGGCAAGCCGCAGCACATGGCTATGTATGAGCGAAGGCCTGTGTAAAATGCAAGTTTAATTTATGCCCAACAGAATGGCAGCCAAACCGGCAGTTCAGGTCGCAAAAGAGTTGACAAAAAGTCCAGACAGACAGGCACACACATGCTCACAACGGAAACGGAAACGGAAATATGCGCCATTTCTCAACAAGACAATGTCTGCTGCAGTCAAAATCAAAAAAGGCGTAGTAGCTATAAAGAGCTGGGGAAAAAGGGAGAACAGAGTAGAACAGAGGAACTTGTCCTTGTCATTTTCATTTCTCCAACTTTCCTCCAAAAACTGTTGAAGTTTTCTCCTCACTGTTTGAGTTTGCCTCAAATGTTTCTTTGTCTGGAGCGCATTTTAAAACCAAGTAGGATTTGCCAAATGGAAAGTAAGTCATAGTTGGGGGGGAAGAAACTTTATATAATTATGCAAGTGTCTGATATAGCTGATGGGTGTGTGTGTGCAATTTATGCATAATTAAAACTTGATTATGCGGTTTTACAGCCTGGACAAAACCACTTTAAGGAGACTTTCTTACTAGACTTTGTTTAGTGAATTAAGAAACTGCTGCTGGTTTTGACTCTTTAATAATATTTACCCAATAAAGTTATTGGTCTTCTTTGTCTTTTTCTTCAATATTTACTTCACTTCCAATTATTTGTCCTTCCATTTCATTGAACCAATTTACTTTGTCTCTCTTCCTATTCTATGTACTATTTTATGCTTTTGTCATGCACAATTTTTGCCCCTTTAGCATTTTGTGCAATAAGTGGATTAGGCACCATAACTTGTCAATAATTGTGCAGCAATGACTTCTGCGTAAGCAATTAGAAATGATTTGCCAACATTTGCATACAGTGCTCGGGTCAAATGGCCATTTGGAGAAGTTAATTCTTGAGTTAACTTTATGATTCACTCCCTTTCTTTACCCATTACAATGGGTCGTAAAGCAAAGCAATCTCAGTTGGTGGTGCTGGTGCTGGTGCTGGTGAAGGCGAACGAACAATGGGCCGGCGATAAATGGCAAAGTCGCAATAACGTTAACCGTTAGCCATGTACATAGACATACTAGCTTCCTCTTCTTCGGGCCAAAAATGCGGCAGCGGCAAAGACAGAGGCAGTTGACCCAATTCGTAGGGAAGCAGCGCGTTTTGTTCCCAGTAAAAACTCAGCTCAAGTCAACTCTTTCAACGGATCGGATTCAATCGGTGCGGGAAGACAGCAACAACAACAGTGAATCCATTTTGTCGCTGCTCCCATATTAGGAGCACAAATACAGAGGCACGCAGAGAGGGTACACTGGAAAGAAATATTCTAAAGAAATTCTTTAAACAACTTTTGAACGAATTATAATTTTAGTTACCAAAATAGGGAATATTATTTATGAAAGTATTTCGAATAGAATTTAATGCTTTTATGGCTTAGTTATAAAAGATACAAGGGTATACAAGTTTGTTTCCTTTCTTGTTTTTTCTATACTTCTATTATATTTTTACTATTTTTCTCTCTCTGTTTATTGGTGCTTCTTTTAAGCAGCCCCCTACAGGCACTTATGCCACAGCGCGTCTGGTCCCCCTTCAACCACTGCTGTTGTTGTTGTTGTTGTTGGTGCGGCAAGCCGCTGACGCAATCTACTTGAACATCGTCAAATGCATTTCCTATTAGAGATGGCCAAGTGGCTGCGGCCAACTGGCAGTAAGGTGCGTTTGGCATTACGCAAAAACTGAAAATGGCAAAAACTGAAAATGGGTCAGCAACTGGAACGAGTTATGATGAAGTTGGGAAGTGGGACAAATGTGAAATGGGAGGGATTTATTTGGATTTATTATTGTAAACCAGATATATAGTTTGGAAATTGTTTACCTATGGAGAAAATTTAGAAACCAGAAGGAGATCTGTTACTACTAGCTTTATTTCTGATAAATATGATATCTTCTTTCGTTGATTTTACATAAAATAAATTAGAAATCATATGAATTTATAAAAAGAATAAGATTATCACTATATACATATTATAAATAACTATATTCAAAGATTTGTAAGTCTTAAAAACGTCAGAAATTTCTTTAAAAATATGAAAATATAACCAAAAGTATTTCCCTTTACCTTTGGAATCTAAAAAAAGAGCTCCTTTTATTCCTGCACCACCACAGAGCTGTTAAAGACCAATACCACGCACCAGTTGTAGCCAAAATCTGACCGCAGTCAACTTGGCGCAAATGTTTGTGAGGCCAAGAGCTTTGCTCCCCCAGCGGCCAACACTGCGTATGTGTGCTCTGGCCTAAGTACATATCCAACCGGACTCTCTATTTGTACTGTTGCTGTTGTTGCCTTAGCGCTTCCAATTGGATTTCCAATTCCGTTGACCAGCAGCGAAAAATTCTCAATTGCTTGCAAACACAGAAACACACAGAATGGGGAACAGAAACTCTTCTCTTGCCAATTGAATTAGCCATTAAAAATTAAAAAGCCAAAAGAGGAAGCCAAAGAAGTCAGGCAACGGACACGCGCCGAATATTTTCCATAAATATTTTGTCTGTTTCGTATATGCCATATTCTTTATCATTAAAAAAAAAACAAAAAAGAGAAAAAAAAACCCGGTGTTGGCAAGTAATTTATATTTATGCCACATCGGTCGGATGGTAGCGAAATTTACGCAGATTTCTTTGTGCTTCGGCTCGACACTTAAATTTATTTATGCTGATATGTGAGATTCGCTTCATCATCATTTCAGCTCGCCTTGGATGCTGCTGCTGCCACTTAACACCTTACTGGCAGCAGCTGCCGCCACACCCAAGCCATGTTAATAAATGTCTGCCACCCATTCCACCCTCTCCCCCCCTTAGCCCTTACACCGCCGCCGCCTGTCTTCATGGCAACCTCCTGACAGATGAGTTGATCTGCGTAGCCTTAACTTCGTCCTCATCGCGGTGAAGCTGTCTGCAAAATTACAAACTTTTAAAGCTTTAAGCTGAGCGAACAATTCCCATCCGAATTGCAAATATTTGCCAGAGGGCAGAGGGCAGAGGGTAGGAGGAAAAATGCGAAACAAACAAGCGAACAAGGTTTACAAGACTCATATCAATAATCCCATTTTGGCAGATTTTCTGCTTTTCACTTGAGCATCCGGAAAATCACTCCGGGTTTCGACATGACAAAAGTTTGCAACATTTCCCAAGCAGTCAAATTAAATTAAATTTTGTCTTCAACTAATGCCAGGTTGACATTGAATTGAGCGGAAAATTATGGCTATAGAATGTTATATTAAGTCATTTAAATATATAGAAATAATTGCCTGAAATAATTATAAAAAGTACTGAAGAAATAACCCAAAGAAAGCATGTAAAAGCCTTAAGCCTTTCTATGTCTCATAATAAATAACGAAAATATTTTATGAAATTATTATTATTATTATTAAAACTAATCATATGTGTACCTCTAATCTTTTTATTACCCAAAAAAACGTTTAATTTAACTAAATACTCAGCAATAAACCCAAAGCTCTTGTCCCACTTATAAATACCATTTTAGTTAAGGTCACTTACTCAAGCGGATGTTGCTTTAAACAATATTAGTAATCAAAATATTGTTTTCAAAAAGCCAAACCCTGTTTAGCATATCACCATATAAAGAGATGATTTCATCCAAGCCACCAAAAAAATGGTTGTAGAAAAACAAAAGCCGTCCATCAGCTGCCCCCACAGAAATTAATTATTCCACCATACATCATTATCCATATTGGCACACACACCCGTGTCGAAGAGCGCTAATTGCTGGCAAACAATTGCCATCTTCAATTACAATTATTTACCATCACTTTGCAGAGCTCAAGTGCCGAGAGAAAGAGAGAGATCTCTCGTCAATAAGGGAGGCGAGGTGTCTACCAAAACCTCACCAGCAGGGCAGCAGGTGAAACACTCGAGTCTTTTGACGCCTACCAGCGTTCATAATTTAAATTCATCTCTTTACTTATGCATACAACAACGGGAAATTTGTAATAAGCCGCTTAAGACGCGTGCCCCCATACAGATTGCAGTCACAAATATACGAATTTACATACACAGAGACACATACATACATAGATATACACAGGTGAGATGGCACTGCAGTTGACAGGAAAATAAGCAAAGGTGAGAGATTGCGAGATGAAAGAAGCTGTGGAGTAATCCCACCAGTCTTAGCCTGAATTTGTCGACACTCCTCTGCTGATGGTTGTTGTTGTTATTATTGCTAACGATGCTCTGTCACGATTTAAGCTTCATTTTCGTTTTAATGGGGAGACTTTCATGCATGTGTGGCTAGGGTATATGCGACGAGATTTCATTTCAAGATGGTAAGTTTGAACACACAAAATTAAAGTGAATCTGACCGAAAGTAATGTGGAATAAATTTGGTTGAAATCGGGTAATTGCATAATTGTTTTAAAAATTTATAATAATAGAGAACATTAGGGAAGATACGTTTAAATTTAAATAAAATATAAATAAACCATATAAATAATTTCCTATAATTTTCTATTAGCTTATTTTTGATTTTATGATAGATTTAAATAAAAATAATTATAGAGTATCATTGTTCTTTGTCTGAAGTCATTAAAAAGAGATTTTCATAATATAATCTAAACAAATCATAAATTTCCTTTCATTTCCTTTTAGTTTTCTAGTGGTTTTATTGTTGTAAAGTAAAATAAAATATCATTAAATATATTTAGTAAATATATTTATTTACAATGTATCACCTATTCCATAACTCAAGTCCTTTAACAAGAGATTTTTATAATCTAAAGTAATGTTATATATTTTAAATTAATTATTGCACATCGAATATTAAATTTTCTATCATTTTCTATTATTTTTCTGGTGTTATTACTAATTTAATCCATAAATTCCATTAAATGTATTTACTAAGTATCACTTATTTCATATATCAACTCCTTTCTATAAGCTTTTCATGTGCCACCGTCAGCGTGATTTTCTTTTTTATTGCTTACTTTTAATTATTGAGTTGTGAAACTCATAATCTCCGCCCGTTCAGCTCCGCTTTTTCCGTTTGTTTTTAAAATTTTGCATTTTTTTTCGGTCTCTCTGTCATGAATATGGAAATTTGTGCAGCTTAGTGGCGCTGGGCCTGGGCTCCCTTGGATATCTTACTAGTATGCCCTATTATTATTTAAGGTCCCTGGCACTTGGCAAGGCTATTGCATATTTTATTGCAAAGTTAGGGGGGAATTTGAGCTAAATTATGGTCTGTAGATAGGATGGTCGGAGAGTGCTTATCATTGCAGTTTGTTGGCTGAATAATTCATGGTCAATATAGAGAGAGAAATATATATAGAGAGAAAAGGGAGTGAAATGCAGTCTGGCAAAAGGACCCTTGGAGTGTTTTACTTTCATGATTTTTTTATACTCTAGATTTCTTTCATTTTCAATAGAAAATTGAAAATCTGAACCAGCAGCAACGAGTGTATATTTGCTATAATTCAATTTTCTCTGACAAATACAATAATAAAAAAAAGAAGAGGAAAAACTTTCATTAAAATTCAACTGCATCAGCAAGATTGTAACATAGCTGCAAACACACACCAGCAAATAGACACACACACACTCGTCTAGGTGGACCACAAAACCGATGGCAAATCAATTGGAAGCGAACTTCACTTTTCACTCAACCAGCCAGCAACCCTCCTCCTTTCACTTTTCCCCTGCTCAGAGCCAACCATTTCATGCCAAATTGAATGCAAGAATTTAATTAAGCTTCTCTTGGCTCTTTTTTATGATATTATTTTATTGAAAAAATATATATATAAGTACACATCTGAATGGCTGTACAAATATCATTTCAAATACGTTTGGCTTACTTTTATATGCACAATTTATTCTTTGATTTATTAAATGACCAATAATAAATTCATGGGGGCATTGTCCTGAAGTGGATTGGATTGATGTCGTCACAATAAGGAATTCACTTGAAACAAAGCAGAAAAGGTTACAAAGGAAGACAAGGACTGAAAGGAAAATCTAAAAAATAAAATGAATAAAGGTAGAAAATAAAGTATTAAGGGGAAGTTCTTTAAAATAAGATATTAGTCTCATTAACAAAGTAAAATATATTCTGTAAACTTGCTAGCTCAACTCCTTACTAAATTTAAAATATTTCCAGTTTCCTACACGTTTTTATCACTACATAAATATTTTTCCTAGTTTATAAAGCTCAAAAATTCCACCCATAAAAACTAAACAAAAAAATGTTCCTAAACTGTGCGAGGCTGCAAAAGTTAATTTCCGTCTAAGCCATTACCACAAACTTTGAGCCTTTAAATGGGTATGGAATGTTGGAGGGAAGCTGGTTATGCTAGGCACTAACACACAGCAGATCCCCTGCATTTAAGCACCGACAGCAAGTGCACCCAGAGCTCTGGCACTCACATAATTCCTGCCCTCAAATGCAGTAAATACAAATTTATTTTACACTCTTACATTTTTGGTTAGCCAAGGCAATGGGGAAGGGAGGGAATAGTGCTGGAACATTGTTGCAGGCTTTACGAGGCAACAACAACAGCTCAGCACTGTATAGCACAACCGACATGTACACAAAACAATTATAGCCGTAGGTAATTTAGTGGGGAAAACATTACCAGCAAACGGAGCCAAGGAGTGCGAGAATGCCGGCAGAGAAATGTTTTATGTCTTGGCGGGGGTTTCCCCGTCGCCCTGGGAGATGTCTTGGCCTTCTCCTCGCTTGGCATGTGCGCTTAAAATAATTTCTGTTAACCATGGCCCACAATTTGCTTATGGCCCAGACTGGAATTGCCGGCGCACCGCCCCTCCTTAACATTTTCAGCAATTGCCTGGCCGAAAAAGTTTGTTAACGAAAAAGTAGGAAAAGAGTTTGCCTTGCTTTCCCCTTTGGCTGTCATTCAAGTGGAGTTTCCAGGCGAATTTCTTTCGGTGAAGTGATTATGTGGCTATATGAGGGGAGTTGAAAGTTCCAAGAAATACCAAATGTTGTTGGTTATAATTTAGTTTTATTTGTATAAATATGTAGCACCAATAACACCAATTTAAGTTGCATAAGTTATTCAATATCATATGTTTATATTTTATAAATTCAAATTGTGGAATTTCGAGAAGCAAATGCTTTTCTAGAACACTTAAACTTTTTTACTTAAAAACTTCTATGAAGATTTTTCTATAGAATCCTTTAAATGTAGTCAAAGATCTCTCATTTTGTCTGGGAATCCGTTAAATTATGTTCCTAAACAAAGGCTGTACTCTCTGTGAAAGCCCCACAAAGCCTTAGCTTCTCGCCCGTGACAATGGCTCTCATGAATTGCGGTCCCAAGTACAGGCCCTTCTCTGTGCTCTTGGTATCTCCATCTAGTCGGATGACATAATCCTTGCTTATCAATCGATCGGCCATATCCTTCTCCAGTTTAGGAATAAGAATATCATAAAGGGTTCCATCGCCAGCTGCCGTCAGTCTTCGATTCACAATTGTGCAACAATTTTCTTTAAGCAGGATTTCCTCAAACTGTAGCTTAACTTGGGAGAGAGAGCTCCTTTTGGGACATCCCGAGAGTCGCTCGAAGCATTTGAATTGGTAGAAGCGACGTTCTAGCTCAGCCAGATCATCTAGCAAGGGCTTCAAGGAAGGTAGTTCATCAGTATGAGAGCGCGAAAGGCGGCAGAGGTCAGTCAAAAGTTGCTCAATCTGAGAGCTAAACAAGTCCTCCACTTTGGCATTACTTAGAATGTCCTGCAAAGAGAAGATTTACAACTCTCCTTCTCCTAAAGCAGCTTTGTTCTACTTACAATAAGCTTAAGTATGGCCGAGTGTAGGAGGGGAACTATGGTCAGATTATAAATCTCATGCATTTTCCGCGTCTCCAAGTAGTGAAGCACTTTCAATGCCTCATTGGTGTCATCAAAGAGTCTCTTTTGCCGGCTTACAGGCACAGCTTGAGCCTGTTCCCACACCTTTTGCCAGGTGTTGCCCTCTGTGGTCATTCTGACACTCAATTGATGTTTCACCTGACCCAATTCTGACGATAAAAAAGAATATAAAAAAAATATGTAAATTATAAATTAAAAAGTCACCCACCATCTGTGACCTCCTCCCAATCCTTGGGGCTGTACCAGCGTATAAAGTCCTCCATTATCCCCCTAGGATTGGCTGCCTTAAAGGCCTCCATATCCGATAGCAAGGAAGTGCACATCATTTGTGTAGTCAGCCCAGAGCCAGGACCCAGTTTCAGCATGACCTCGGCATCATCCTGCAACTGATCCTCTGTCTTGGGCACAGGTTCTTGGGTCTCGGGTATATACAAATACTCCTCGGGTTCCTCCAGCAACCTCTCGTCATTTAAACGCCTCAGTCGACCCTCGGGCTTTAGGCTAAGTACAGGTTTTATAGGCGGACCAGACCCTGCCGTTAGATCATCACAGTCGAAGAACTCGCCCTCGTCATCATCCTCTTCTTCATCTTCCTCCTCGGAATTGGCTTTTCTCTCCACCGCCTGGGGTTTCCTTTTGCTGTTTGCCTCGCGCTGCACGCGACGTTCCACACAAACGTTGAGCATCTGCAGCTTCTGGTGCAGCAGACAGGTGCGCGTGTCGGGAAAGCCAGTGGAAATTCTAGAGTAAATTGAGAATGAATTGGTGAAGGTAAAGCCATAAGGTGTTGATATAAACACTTGAGTAATTAAATTGGATGTGTTTTTGGGTTGTTTATATACCGAAGGATATTTACAGAGGAGTGTTTGAGTTTCTGAAGGTTTGTTTTAGTGAAAATTTTTGTTTTAAAAGATAATATATAATAGTACAAAAGTTGGTTGAGGTTTTCCTTAGAGATTTACTATCTTTCTTATATTTTTAAAGCCTTAATTTATTGTTAAGAATTTAAAGTAATCTTGGCAATAATCTAAGCTTAGCCTTTTCTGAATCTTCAGCTCTTCTTTGAATTACAGCCTCAAGCTTGATCTCAGATAAATCTATTCCTTTGTCCCAGCCTATCCTATACCTAGCTCACATTATACCCCTATATCTAGCCTCTTGGCCACATATATCAGTCACATTTTTTGGGCCAATCTCAGTCAGTAAGTTGACAATAAAAACCCGACAAAAGGCGGCAAAAGCGAGCTCAAGCTAGCCGCCAAGACACATGCATATATCAGGGGCAAAGTATGGGCGTATAACTCCACATATATGTGGATGCCCCCCTGCCAACGTAACCCAATTGATATTCACGCTCATCATGGCTGTCAACGCGTGCGTGGCCCTCTGGTCTTGCATAGCCAATGAGCCCGGGAGTGTTGGTGAGTCAGTCCAAAAGAGTTCGCTGAACTCTGGGACGCAAAGTGGAGTCACCACCTCGAGGGGGGAAGGGAAGGAAAGTTTTTCAGAGAAGTGAGTGAGTAATTTGGACCAACCAGCGGATGTTGTCCAAGAGGAGCATAGAGCTCCCCCTGGGCAACTTCGGGAGCTGCTGCACTTGGCATTTGCATAAAAGTTGCCTTATTAGTCGCTGCGTGGACAGCTGCATGTTGGAGTAGCAGCTGCTTAAAAGGTTTTTAAAGTGGCTAAAATTGCACTAAGCCATGAGAGAGAGAGAGTAGCGGCTGACAAATGGCTCTTGGCTTTTATTGACCTAATGCTAGCTGGCCATTTGATAGTGCCCAAAAGCATCCTCCAACACCCTAGCCGCCTTAGTTGCAATGAAATAAAAACATCAAATGCGCTCCATGTCATTAATTCCATGTCTATGTTTGGCCTGCTTTCAAGGGGGAAGTGGAAAACGCCCACCATTATCTTCACCACCCCCAAGATAGAGAGCAGCAGGACCATCATCATCATGAAATTGTCCAATAAACTAGACAGAGTTACGTTTATTTTTGTGGGGGGCCAAAAGAACAATTTAGTCGGCTTCAACGACCAGAAGGATAAGCTGCGGTTAAATGGAAATTGTTTTGTCTTTTTTTTGGGCCTTGAAGGAACGAATAGCCAAGAAATTGAAACGACAAAAGCTGGAATATTTAAAAGGGGATTTTTATAGAGCAGAGAAATTGATGATGAGGCCAAATTATTCAAGGCTTTTTCATGGATTTAATGAGCTAATTCAAGGCAGTTCAATTATAAGAAATATTAAAGTTACTTTCCACCTTTTAATTTGTTTAAGCCAAAACTCTCTAAAAGCCAAGAAGAGAATTAACTTCACCCCTCAAAAATATAAATTAAATGAATTTCAAACTTTAAACTTCAACAGTAACCCAATTTTTTGCAGTTTGCTTTTTAATTCCTGCGGCTAAGCTGACCCCAAAGATTATCAACCTACAACACAGCACACCTACCCAAAAAAACCAGCCACTTCTATATATATACATAAGCCCATCTATATATAAACTTTTCAATTGACAACTTTTCCCACAAGAGCCAAGCGCTCAACTCACTTTTTTTTCAACCTCAAATATTCTAATCCACTTAAATGCTTAACAGCATTATGTGACCTTAAGCCCCAAAAAAAAAGGGCGGCGAATTTACACCCACAAGAAGTATGCGCCCGGCTTTTGTTAAATAAAACTTCAATTAAAACATTTTTGTGCCTAGAGGTGTGATGGGAGCAGAAGATTGCCCAACCTGGCCCAAAGGCAAGTGCTTGAAAAACAGAAAGAAAAAATCAACCGCTGGACCATTGTCTAAAAATGCAAATTTGCCAGCCACCAAAAAAAAAAAAAAGAGTGAATAATTATGCGGCCAAAACAAAGAAACAACAACAACAACAAGAGCCACGCACCCGAAAGAGAAGGATAGAAAAATCATTTGCACCTCTCAAGTTTTTTGGGTGAGAAAACAAAAAAGTGGTATTTTTTTTAGATACCCTGAAGGAGGGTTTTATAAAATATTAAATAACAATAATAATGAGGGTCATGAACTGTAGAAATATAAAAAGAAGTTGAGTTTTTTCTGTCATATTTCTTAAAATTAATTTATTTTCTTGGTGAACTGCAACTTTGCAGCTTAAAAAGCAAATGAAAGGGTATTTTTTTTGTTAATAAGTTTAATAATATCTTTTAATATGTTTCTTAAATATTCTATATACAATAATACCCTTAAATGTAAAGAAAAAGTTTAGCTTTTTCCCTCATGTTTTGTACATTTTTTTTATTTTCTTAAAATAATTTACAGCTTCAAATTCATATTTTTTTGAAAATCAAAGTGTTTTTTAAGAAGTTTATTAATAATTAATAATTTTAAGTTGTTTTGCAATACTTTTGTAATTAAAAAACAATTTTTAAAAATAAATTTCTCACTTAAAATAGAGTAATTCCCAAGGGTATGTTTACCGTCCTTTTTCTAAACCCCTTTTTTCTGCTCTGCATTTTTTCTACTTTGCTGCACAAGACTGTACTCCTGGAATCGTTTTTCATTTATTCACTTCGTCAGTGGTTGTTGGCACTTTTGTTGCAGTTCTTCCTTTGTTTTCCCGCTGCAATTTTCGCACTTTTCGCGCATTAAAAAATTTAGTGATGCAATTAATACGCAGAAGGAAAACAACAAAAGCGAGTCGGGCAGACAAAAAAAAAAAAAAAGAAAGGCGGGACGGGGACAGAAAGGGAATAAAATGGTGCAAGAATTTTTTAATTAAATTTGTGGCCAGACAGTTGAGTGAGAAATGAGAAACGAGCATAGAGCATAAGAGAAATGGCTGGAGAAAGGCCGAGGGTTTTCGGGGGGGGCAGACAAGGCAGATACTGCACAGTGCACAGTGAAGCTTGAAATATTTTTGTGCCTTCGTTTTTTGTTGGATTTTAGCCACGTAATGCAATTTATAAGTTGAATTAAGGAAGAGACAGCCCAACAAAAACCCAAAATGCCATGAAAAATGAAGTCAGGCGCGACGAACAATTGAAACATCAACCTCAGCAGCAGCAGCCTCCTCCCCGGGGGGGAAGTACATAGTACAAGTATCTCTGGGATTCATGGATGCAGGGAGGCGTGACACAGCTGCCGACGAGGAAGAAAAAAACTATCAATCAAAAGACAAAATGTTGATTATTATTTGGAATGCAGCGAAGCATGCCGTTTAATTATTATTCTGCGGTTTAGCTGGAAGCTGCAGGGGAAAGATACAACTACAAGTAACTTTGATTTCAATTTGCAATTGATGAAAATTTGTTTAAACTTTTACTTTGAATTTGAAATTTAGGGAAACCTAAATAGGAAAATTTCTGGAAAGGAAAACATTACAAAAAGTAAAAATAATTAAATCAAACTTTATATTTTTCTCATTTTGTAATATCTTTGTCTTTAAAAAAGTATTTTATTTTCAAGTAAACCTTTCTTTAAAAATATAATAAGGTTTTATTTATAAATAAATTTAAATTTTCTTTTAAAAAGCGAGTTCATTCACCTGTTCTTTATTATTTGCTTCAATTCACATAATATAACAATAATCAGCGAAAACAAAGAATTTTCTCAAACAGAAATAAAAAAAACATCTAAAATTTTAGCCACAATAATAACCAAAACCCAGAGAAAGGAGGCGAAAGTGTGTGTCATCATAACTCATGATTATGCAAAAAGGTCAACAGCTTCTTTGCTGACCCTTAAGTCATCATCATCGGCCTTTGTTTGCCGGGGCCATGGAGAAGGGTTAAAATGTTAGAAGTAAGGGAACATCACGTGCTTGGCTTTTTTTATGAGGCAACCAAATTAAATTAAATGGCTAACAAAAAGCGCGAGCCGCGTAACACTTTATTTTTTGTTGCTGCCATTCAGCGGTTAGAAGGCCCTTCCTACAAAAGGGATGCCAGAAAGGATTTACTTTCGCTACGTCTTGCTTTACTGCCTTCTCCGTCTTTTTTTTATGCCTATTTTATGGGGAAACAGTGACTTGGGGCTCTGAAGCACCTCGTTTGACAGGCGCAGCCACGCAGACAGGCAAATTAATCAAAACTAAACTGCCCCAAGGATCAGGTCAGCCAGAGAGGGGATACCCTCTTCCTCCTTTCACGCACTGTTTGTTGTCTAACGAGCATGAAAATGAAATTGAAAGTAGCCTGCCAAAACTGATTGATAAAGCTGAGTCCTCCTCCTGTTCAGTTTTACTTTTTACACGGCAAGAATAAAAGATTAAATGTATTTTAAAAATTTTGAAAGTATTTATTTTGCTATAATTTTCAGCCTCAAGTACTTTTTAGGAGACATTTTAGTGTTAGTATTCTGTCTTTATAAATATCTTAAATACCTTCACAACCTTTTATTTATAATATTAAATTCTTAAGACTTCGATTCTATATTTTCTCTCCTGTGCATCTTCGTTTCCTCCCTTACTCTCTACCATATCCTTGACCAACTGACCATAGGCAGATACTGAAACCCAAAGGGGAGGAGATTTGCCTGCCAGGCGACAGTATTAATTGGGTAATTTATGGCCTCGACTGGCCCAGACAACCTTCACTTTTTCACTGAGGCCAAAAACACTCCACTTCACCCCACTCCTTCTTCTCCTTCTTTATATCTTTGACTAAAATTTGTCTTCTCCTATTTATTTGCAGCTCTATGCCGGCACCAAGATGAGACCCGGCCGAACGACAATAGCAACGCCCCTGCTCCTGCTACTCCCACTAATCCTGGGAGTGCTGAACGGTGCTCAGGCCCAATGTCCCTGGCAGAGGGATGTGCCTGACCTGCAGACGAGCTGCATCTGCGCCTATAATCTGGGCAGGGAACTGTCTGTGCAATGTGATCAGGTGAGGATTTTGGACATAAGATTTTGATTTAATTAACCAAAGTATCCAGGGATCAATCAGTTTACGGGTTTTCTTTCCATTTTTGTTGAAATTATGTCTTTCTCCTCCACAGGTGGACTTTCTGCAACTCCTGGAGGCCATGAATACCCATGCTCGCCTGAAACCCGTGGATTTGCTGTACGTAAACAACTCCTCGATTTCAGAGCTACCGGAGGCCATCTTCAGCAATTTGAGCCTGCACAATGTTCAGCTCTCGAGCTGTGGCATTCAGCGGATTGCAGCGGGTGCCTTTAAGGGCCAGGAGTCGGTGCTGCGGAATCTCAATTTGCAGGATAATCTGCTCACTGAAGTGCCCGTGGAGGCACTCCGAGTGCTGGGTAAGCTTAACCTGCTGGATTTGTCCAAGAATCAGCTTAGCCGCATTCCCGACGATGCCTTTGTGGGGCTGACAAAGCTCTCCACCCTGAAGTTGAACGACAACAATGTGACTCTAGCAGGGAGTGCATTTAGGGGTCTCGAACAGAGTCTGAAAAACCTGAATCTCAAGGGGACCAAACAGCGAAGGGTTCCGGAATCCATTAGGGGTCTAAAGAGCCTGGCTTTTCTCGATCTCTCCCAGAACGGCATCAAAGAGCTGCCGGGAGCGGGCGGCATAAGAGTGTTCGATGGTCTGGATGCCCTGACAGCCTTGAATCTGGAGAGGAATCTCATTCAGAGTATTGGTGAGACGGCCTTTGCTGGGGTTAGAAAGACCCTCAGTTCGCTGAGTTTGCTCAACAATCTGCTGGCCGAATTTCCCATTGGCGCTGTACACTCGCTGAAAGAGCTGCGCGTTTTGGACATTGGATTCAATCTGCTGACCACATTGCCGGAGGCTGCCTTTCGGGGCAATCCAGGCATCACGCTGCTGGCCTTGGATGGCAATCCCCTGAGCAGTGTGCCCGAAGGAGCCTTCGCCCATCTGAATGCTACGCTTCGGGGTCTTTCCCTGGGAGGCAGATTCCTACACTGCGACTGCAAGCTACGATGGGTGGCGGAGTGGATACGGAATGGAGATTTGCAGGTTAGTAAAGTCAGTAGGGAAAAATGTTAAATAAGAAAAAGAAAATTGAATTTAAATCATTAGATATATAGAAGATCTTCCAAAGACTTTAAATATATTTTGAAATTACCCAATAACACCAATAAGTCCTTTAAATTCTGTCTTTAATTTAAACCTTTCAATACCCAACCAATTGCTACCTTTTCCTCCGATAAAAACCTCTTGTCAAATGGTCCGTTTCCGATTAAATCTGATTCAGAAAGTTGCCAACATTTGTTTCATTAACTCCACAAACTGTGCTTTGACTTTGACTTCCCATTTCATCCCCCCAGGTAACATCGCGCGAACGGAACCCACAGTTCTGCGGCACTCCACCCCGTTTCCGGGACCGTGGCTTCTACTCCATTCAGCCCGAGGAGCTGAGTTGTCCGGACATTGCCGATACTGCCCTGCGAGGACCCGTCGGCCTGGCCGATAACCTAAAGCCAACACTGCCCACCTCACCCGATTCCGTGGAGTATGAGACGGGAACGGGCACTGGCACGGGTTTGGGCACTGGCACAGCAGCCTCAGCTCCGGTGGCCAGCAGTGTGAGCAGCTCAACATCGACAACGACACCCACAACGACCACCACGACAACAACCACGCCAGAGCCAACCACGAAGAGGAGCACGGTGAGTGACAACGATGACGACGGGAAGGAGGAGGTGATAAAATAAGGATGGATCGTAAAGTTAAATACGAGTTTTTTGGGGAAGAGGAAATAAAACCAGGTTCTAGGGGTGCTGAAGTGAGGGAAGGTGGTGCCACATTGTCACCCTTGTCCAAAGTTTAAAAACATAATTTTTAACTACAGTCAATGGCTTGTAAAGATTATGATATGTAATTATTTTAAATTTTTATTTTAGGAACCATTTAATACTCTTCCCAACCAAAATGTATCTTTAATTATATCAAAATCTCCTCCTACAGACCCGTCCCCCCACTAAAACAACAACTGTCTCCGGCACCACGGCCTCTCCTGCATCCAATCTCGCTGTGAATGGAACGGGCACAGTTCAGGCCACCTCCATAACCACCAGCAGCAGCAGCAGCTCATCATCCTCCTCGTCAACGGGTCATGGCAATAGCAAACAGGCCCCAGGCTGGCGGCAAGGTGTAACCAATGGCAACGGTAATAGTGGCGGAACAGGAGGCCTTCATAAGCCGCAGAGGCCACCACTCGTCCTGGGCTACCCACCGCAGAGGGGCACTCGCATCGATGACGCCAACGAGGTGCAAGTGAAGCATGCTTTCCGACAGGACAGCTCTGTGATCATTCAATGGGACTCGGACACGGCAAATATCCTAGGATTCCGTGTGGTTTATCGCCTGTTTGGTGAGAAGGCCTTCAAGCAGGGACCACCGTTGGAGGCCAGCGAAAGGGAGTTTAAGATCAAGAATGTCCCAGCCCAAGAGTGTATCATCGTGTGCGTCATTTCACTGGAGGAGCTGCATGTTACCCCAGAGACAGTGCCCTACCAGCAGTGCCGGGAAGTGAGGACAGTGGCCTCGCAGGCCTCCAACATGGACAAGATAACGATTGCGGCCAGTGCGGCCATTTGTGGGACCATCATTGTGGCCGTGATTGTCTTCATTGCTGCCAGCAGGTGGGTTTCAGTTTTCCCTATTTGTAGAACGTAGCTGGTAGTTCGTGGTTCGTAGTTCGTAGTTCCCTTCTGGGCCATGAGTTATGGCCCAACAACTGAGCCACGGACAAAGCCAATTGCTGTGCAAAGTGGCTGGCTGATTTATCGCAGGTCCTTAAGTCGTTGCCACTTTCTATATAGTCTTCTCACTGCGTTGAATCGGTTACGCTTTGGTTTTTACTTATACAAGGAAGGTATCTAAACACTTTATCATCTTTAAGAGCAAGCTCATAATACACTTCTTAGGAAGATGTTTATTTGGTTTAGGAAAATATCTACAAATTCGTATATATTTTCAAGAGATATATTTAATTTTAAATTAAGTCTGTAGTTTCTTTTTGGTATCTTAAAGTTCAGCGTTTAGAAAAACTTTTAAATTCAACAATCCTCCTTTAATTGCCACAAGATAATCGCTTGGCTTAGGGTATTTAAGTACCCCGATTTTCTTTTAAACCTTCCTTCTCATCCTATTATTATTCTCTATTTTTTTTTTAGACGCTCCCGCAAACTGCAAAACAGCCAGCAGAAGAGCCCGCTGCCAATTGGAGGTCTGCCCGTTAATTGCTGCGGTCCAACCGGTTCACCAGGACCACTTGGCTCCATTGCAACGCTATCGGCATTTAACAATCACAAGGTGAGTCCGCTGCATTCCCACCCCTCTTAAACACTAACCAGCTAAAAGCTTGCCAAGAAATTGTTGCTACTCCTGGCTCCCGGCTGTCTGACTGCCTGTCTCTGTCCGGATCGTTAGATGATAGTTGGGTTTGGGTGACTTGCTGGAAGAGAGAGAGAGACCATGACTGCGGGAAATTGGCAATGCCGCGATTTGATGGCTGTTGATTGTATTTATGGGGACAACAAATTAAACGGAGCGAGGATAACAGAAAGTATCTCAATTTTGCAATCTCAGTATTACTTTCCTTTTTTTTTTTTTGGCAAGGTTGCGTTGCCAAAAAGTGAAGTAAATAATGGCTGATAAGTGGGGGTTATGGTTTGGAAAAGACTTAAGGGGTTAATACAGGGGTTTAAAAAATATATAAATATATATATGATACATTTAAAATTGGGAATTAAATACCTAAAATATTTATGATATCTTTTCTCCCTTTAGGAATGGGATCAAGTGTCTGCCTACAGTGGTCGCTCCATACCAAGGCCTCGCATCTATCCCGTGGAACAGCCGGACGATATGCGTAGCCACTTCTCTGGAATGCCCGGCAAGGTGGGCAAGTCAAGGTGAGTCCAACCTCCCCAACTCTCTCACTCTACCCTCAGCGAATCAAACATTTGCTTGCCCCGCATTCCAAGCTTGCGCGCATTTTTCAACCGCTGCCTTGATTGTTTATTTACTTTATTGTTTATTTGGTTCGTTTCGTTTGTTTCTCATTATTTGTTTATGCATATTACACACACACACACTCCGCATACACGCCACACCACAAACACCCCGCATAACCACAGTAGATCCTTGGCGGACGGACAGTCGCAGCACAGTTTCTCAAACAATTCGCATCGCGGCTATTTGGGCAGCGCCTTTCCCTCGAATCTGGTGAATTCCCGCCCAGAATTGCGGCAATCCCGTCAATCCTTGGCCGCCGCCTCGGAGCGTATGTCAAGGGCCTCATATGCCGGCTCCATACACGGCGGCGGCGGTGGAAACGGAGGTCTCAATAGTGGCGGAGGAGGCGGTGGCCTGCCCGTGAGCAGCCTAATGGCCATGAGTGGAATGGTGGGCGGTGGTGGCCCCGCAAGCATTGCCTCCAGTGCCCGAAGATCGCGTCCGCGCTCCAGATCACGCGAACAGCTGAACGCCAGCCACATACATAACCATCGACCGGGAAGTCGGTAAGTAGAACATACATACAACTCGCAATCAGATAATCACGGATCTTGGCTGTTTGGTGGTGGCAACTAATTAATCCGACTCGAGTCACCCACTCAGATTCACACACTATGTCGCCGGAGAAGGCAGACTTTTATCATTAAAGATCACAAAAAAAATAAACACATTTTAATTTACACTTTCGATCTTTCTTTTATGTTTCTCGTTTTCGCCTCGTTTCTTTGTTTAATGCCTATTTTTTTACAACTTTCATTGGGTGATTAATTTAATTAGCTTTTGTTTATAGCTTAGAGGTGGGGTTTTGATTTATTATAGATTTTATTTGCGAACCATTCCCACAATTAATGATTATTGTTGGGTCAGTTTTGAGCGGTAGATTCTAGCAAATTTTGTGGTTAAAACTATACTTGAAGTATTGATTAATGAGTCATTGTTATTTACTCATCATTTGTTTCTTTTTTAAAGACTTAATTCATAAGCTTAGCCTTGAACTTTGTTGTTTGATAATATATTTAAAGGTTAAAGTTTAATTATTCATGGGAAACATATTGACTTTTTAAGATAGCTTAACTGTATGTTTTCCCTTTAAAATATATTCTGAAAATTTACCAATTTCCTTAATGAACTATTTACAAGTTTATCTTAAATTATTTACCAAAATTTCCTCACAAACTTTACAATTTCTTCGTGAGCTTCAATTTCAGCCTAGTTTGGCAACTAACCATTGCTGCAATCGACTTAAACTTTCATCCATGTACAAAATTCTGTAACTACAATGTGTACATGCATTCCTTTCACCACCAAAAAACCCCCCTGTATAAATTTCCCCCCTTGATACCATTATTTTTTATATGGCGTTTCGCTTGGTTTGGAGTCTATATATTTTTACTGCAATCCATAGGCTTCAGTGGCTTTTAGAGGATCTCTGATATAACCATTATATTCGATGGCCATTCCAGATACTCGCAGGCGGGATCGACGCACACGCTAAACAACTATTGCGATACATCGGACAACTGGACGGATCACGATATGGACATCTATATGGCCCGCAATCCGACAACGCGGAACGGTCTAGTGCCATTATGAGGGCGGCTTACCTTATCCTGATATTTCAATGTTGTATTAAACTGGGACGGCATCTTCTGACAATATCTGACGCCGGCCATTGAGGGGCATGGTCGGCGTCAGCAGGAGGAGCAGCGGCAACAACAACAACAACAACATCAGCTGGAGCAGCCACTGCAGCGGCAGTTGAGGAATGAGCGACATCAACAACGACACAGAAGCAATCAGCAATTGGAGCAGCCATATCAGCCAGCACAGCATCAGCAGCAACGATTACACTACTATATGCCGCAGACGGAGCGCTGCACCTCACCCCCCGATGTGGTGCCCCGAGCGGCCAATTTCCATAATAGCAACAACCATAATAGCACCACTACAACCACTTCCACTACCACTACTACAACAACTACTACTGGCAGCAGCAGCAGCAACATGGCCAACAGCATTAGCAACACCACCAATGCCAGCAGCAACCAACAGCAACAGACGCCGCTGGATGCAATGACAGCCACGCTGGAGGAGGATGGAATAGCGAATGGCATTGTTGTCGAGAACTATTTTAACGAATATGAACGTCAGGAAATCATTTATCATCATCCCACAAGCAAGAGCAGCATCCAAGCAGCAGCAGCAGCAGCATCAGCTCGCCAGTTACCCCGCAGCAATGCCTTCCGTTTACAGTTACCGACAACGACTAACAATATTTTATATAGTAATCATGATGCTGCAACCGGCAGCATGGGCAATTATAAGGCGCATACATTTAGTGATAACTGTAATTGTACATGTAATTGTAGTCTAAGCGAGGAGAAGAAGGAGGAGGAGAAGGAGGAGATGGCCACTGTGACAGCAGCAGCAACTACTCGAGAAGAGGAGGAGCAGGTGTATGTTAGCTCATCCTTAGCGGCCAGCACCTCGGTGTCAAGCATTGAGCAAGTGCAGCAGGAAGAGGAACAAGCAGAGAATGTATCCTTGTCGCTGAACTTGACATTGGCTGACACTGAGACAGAAGCAGACAGATCTGCAGACGAGGCCACGCCTTAAGTGCAACCATCTCGCTGTCACCAGGGGCCACTCGAGATTTGCATAATGCATTCTAACAATTGCAAATGCGAAGCTGTTGAAAGTGTAATTCCAAGAAATATATAGATATTTTTATATGCTGTTTAGAGTGCAATAAACACCAATACTTTCCCTAGTTCTCTGTTTGCAGCCCAATGTTGAGCAATCAAAGAACTACAACTTAAGTCAATATATGGTACTAATTATACTTAATAGCTATTAAATCTGATTAACTAATGTTTAGGGTTTAAGGAGGAGTAAGAGAGAAGGAAGGGAAGAACGTTTAAATGCTGGGATAGACAGGCATACAAGTCGCTGAGAGAGCACAAGAAAAAAAAAGCAATATGTAAATAACTTTAGAAAGAGCAAAAACCCAGTAAGATGTAATTTACTTCCGAGTTCCCAGAGTTTCAAGATAGTTTACAAAATATATAAAGTAAAAAGGTAATAGGTCCATCGAATCGTTCGTACTTTTCCAAATAAAATTATAAACATTCTCTAGTCTCATATTCTACATCATTTACATTTACACTCCCTTAAAATCCACTTTATGTTTGTCTATCCCAGCCACACAATTGAGTAGTTTTTGAACCAACCAAACCATTTTACTGCCTGAACAGTTTTAATTTGTACTCATGTTTAAGTTTAAGCTTCGATTTGTTTCACTTCGTTTTGTACAGAAGCCTCAATTGAAACATTTGCGTGCTAAGTTCTTTCTTATGTTTATGATTTCTACTTTTTAGAGAGAATTTAATAAAAGTAATCTATCGACAAGAATATATTTTATTTTCCATTTTATTTTCGATTGGTATGTATATATGTATGTAAAAACCTTTAGGCTTAAGCTTTTGAAACAATGTTCTGTTTTCGCATTATCATTATCATTATTGTTGTTGGAGGGACGAGTCCTGGATAAACAGTCCGGAGGAGTCGAAACACAGTTGACAGTTAACAATATTTAGTGCCCGTGGGCAGGGTCACCTCTCGAGGCGACCCACAAACACGCCCATGTCTGGCACTAAATACTTAGTGAAGTAAGAAAATATCTACATCTATATCTACCCTATAATCTATCCCTAAGTAAATCAGTTATAGACAAGGCTTTGAGCATTAGAATGGTAAGCACAATTTAGGTGGAAAACGGGAGCAATTATTTAGAGCAAAATAACAAATATTCAAATACAGCAAAAGTAGGCAATAAATTCAAAGAAAATCGAAATGATTCCCCAAAACGTACGTTTCACTTGTAAAGCAAGTAGGAGGAAACAGTATCCGACATAGCTATAAGAAACTTTAAATCAAATTTAGTGTTAAACAATTACAACTAAATTAAACTGCCTTAGCACATTGGAGAGGGAGAAAGAGAAACAGAGCACGTGCTTAAATTTAGTTTAGCCTGCACTCGATAAAAAAAACAAACAACACCAACTGGAGATGAGCAATATTTTATTATTGTAATCGGTGACACCAACACTAATACTGCCAACAAATAAAACAAAACAAAAATAAACAGAAAAACATATACATATAATACACAAACAACAAGTAGATTATAACTTGGGAATGCTCATCTCCTGACATCACACCGATGACGACGAAGACACCAACCGATATGGAGGAGCAGATATCCACCCAAAAACAGTTAGACTTATATAGTACACGATCCCATAAATAAATGTGCGTTATATATTGTTACAACTAAATCCAATTCAAAATGTTAACCTTGCGGCTTCACAGATTAGCAAAACGAAATTTACTAGAAAATATTTACGAAGCGTTTCCGTTTTTGGTTTCTCAGTTTCGTACGCATCAAGTTCCAAATAAAAAGCATATTTTTGTTACAAAAACCTTGGGATATTGTGTTTTACTTGGATAAAAGAAAGTTGGAATTGGTATAGCCTTGCAGTTTGCCAGAGGATCATGGAATTGATACAAAAATCTTTCATAACTAAGTCAAAACAGTATAAAATTCAATTAGGGAGCTATACTATGCTAGTTTTTTCTACGTTAACAAATTTTTTCTTCTTGACATGGCTAGTCCTACTCCCCTTTTGATCCTGATCACGAAAATATATGATTTATGGGGTAGGGAATGGCTCCTATACTACTATTTAAGCTTCCGACTAAAATTATACCCAGCAAAGGGTATAAAAATCATAAATATGTTAGAAGTACTCACCCTGGCACCAAGAGGGAGTTATCCCACAGAAGCCTAAGCTGTCTCGTAAATGCTGCCCACAATTGGGCCATGCCCTCAACACTGCCCAGGTGGGCATGACAGGTTGCCAATAGGCAGCTCAAACGGCAAACCAAAGAGTCGGGAACAGCGCTCTTAATGCGCATGGGATCAAACTGAAAAGATCGTAAAATAAAGTTTAAAATCAATCGGAATTTAGTTTGTTTTTAATAGAATTTACCTTGTCTTTAAAACTCTTTTTGGCATAGGGATACAATGCCATTTCCGGATGCATATCGGGGAAAAGATAGGCCAGAAGTTCGCTCAACTCACTCTCGGTCATGGGACCCGGCAAGCGCTTGGTTAGACCCGCCTGAGAGGGCAGCTCGTAGCTGCGTTCCCTGCGCTGTTTCAGCTTGTGTTCGGTGATGCGATCCAAGGGATTGGCTCCTGCCTCTGCTCCGCTGCTAACTCCTGAGAAATTTCTGCCCACATAGGACTCTAGGGATCTGGTGACACCACCAACAGACTGATAATCCCTCAGGCAGCAGGAGAGATACGAAGAGGCCTCGACGGATAGATAAACCTTGCCCAGCGGAGCCTTGGAAGGCACAAAGTCAGTTCTCTGCTCGCTGTCGAAGGCCACATGTTCGGATAACTCTGGCCAGGTGTAGACTAGATAGATTTCCGTGCGGGATTCAGGTGTATAGCCATGTGGTAAAGCAAAAAATTGCTGGAGCTCCAGTTGCGAGACTTCGCCGTCAACGACTATGTCTTCAGAGCTGAGGCCATGATCAAAGGGCACATACATGGGCATACGAATCCGCATGGTATCCAGAGCGTAGGTGGTGCACACGGAGATCTTTGCAGCCTGGGAATAGGAGGTGGGCACCTTTTCCCTGAACAGGGTGAGCAGACCCATTAGGAATCGACACTCGGACGGGGCCTTCTCCAGCCCTACGAGCCTGAAGTTGGTCCTCAGGGCAGGAGCTAAGGCCACGCCCGTGTAGAAATTCCATTTGGGATCGTAGATCTGCACAAAGATGGGAACTACACTTTGAACTTCTGCGGCAACCACGGCAGCAGCGCTCAGGAAGAAGTTGAACTCCGATGTGGACTTCATGTAGTTGAGATTGGGATTCACCGGGTGCAGGACAATAAAGCGCCTTAATCCGTAGATTCTGGCAAGAATGTGCAGGTCCTGGGAGCTCCTGATGGGCGGCCCAAAGCTATTTCCAGTGCTCATCAGATCGTGGTGGCAATTGGTGCGCTGCAAGCAGGTTGTCTCCTTGGTCTCCTCTTGGGGACTCAACTCCTCCTCCTCCAGTATGGCCTGATAGTACTCCACTTCGATGCCGTTCCTCAGCATATCCAGAGTTTCCCTCTGTATTTTCCACTTGCACAGGAAGATTTCCTCGGCTCTGAGGCCACGGCCCACGTCGGACTCCGCTGACACATCCCATTTCTGCAGGATTTCGCCCAGCTGAGCGTTGAACACCTCCCAATCGGAGTCGGCGCTGAAGTTTTCGCGGTAAAAGTCGTTGTCGTCGATCTCCTCAGCCATTATTTTAACTTTTTAACGCGAATCAACAAAGACAACAAACTAAAACGCAGACACAACAATGGAAACAGCTGATAGGGTTGTCAGGGTTGATAAATGTGTTGCCTTTGGTATTTTAAATACCAAAATATACTCTGTGGTTCCGCAAACTGGTTCCGAATTTTTATTTTTAATTAATTAATTCGTTTTAAGTTTAAACATAGTTAAATATGCTAAGGGACTCATAAAGAGGTAATCATTTAACCTGATAATATAAATGTAATTTGAAAAAGAGATCTATGAACAGAAAAACTCCTATATACTTTCAATTAGGAAATTTTTAATAATAGTGTAACGTTCTAAAATTATTTTAAATGGTCTTTAAAAAACCTACACTAATTATAAATAATTTACCCTAACTCTCCCTAAAATCGCACGCAGGTGACAACCCTCTTTCCACAGCTGATTTTTGTTTACAATTGAAAATAAAAATAGAAATGCTTGGAAATGTTAAAAGATTGCGGGCGAAAAACTTTTCACCCGTGGAGGAGCGCATCCTGGAAACTCTGGTAACTGCTTACCAGGATGTGATCAAGAGCAAGACAAACGATGCGGTCACCTGGCGGCGGAAAGTGGATACCTGGAAGCGAATAGGGGCAGAGTTCTCCCTGCAGTCTGGGATGGAGCGTCCTTGGAAGGCTCTGAGGGAGAAGTACATAAACACTCGTCGAATAAGAAGGCTAAAGGGTCTGGATGGTAGCAGCGAAACTAGATCCGAAGAGGATCTGGCCATTACAACTGTCTCATCCATATGTGAGGATTTCAGGGAGGGATTTGAAGCCAGAAATGCTGAAGAGAGTAAGTAAAGTTGATGTAAAATTAGTTATTTATATAATATAATATTTAACTTTTAGGTAGCACTGATACTAATCCGGTTTTCAAGCCGAGGAACCTCTTGAGTAGCGGCTCTAGCGATGCCCCACAGGAACAGAACCACTCCGAGTATTCCATGCCCAATATCAAAGATGAAACACCCGATGACTTGGAAGAGAGACTGTCCAGCAATGCCCTAGCAGATGAAAAGATGATCCTTCTTAAGCTTCAGCAGGATTATTACCGCGATGAGAACTCCAGGGCTGCCGAGAAGCACAAAGTGGATATGGAGAAGCGAGGAATTGAAATGGAGCAGCTCAAGATGCAGATTGCCAAGGAGAAGCTGGAGATGGAACGACAACAGATAGAGGTGCAGAGCATGCGCCTAAAGAACGATCTGTTAGAGCTGGAAGTCCTAGAGCGACGGGGCAGAATCAGTGCCACTGAACTGAAGTCTTAAGGTTACTAACTTGGCAAACTTGGTATTTTAATTGGTACAAATCCAGCAATTACGGAAATGTTATAACATTTAGTTCATAATCCAAATAGATTTATAATTTATATATCAAATCACTAGATTTTTCTTCATAGTTCTTGTCCTTTCTCCCTCCTCAATTCGAATGATTGCTTCGTTTATGCTCTCAGACGTTTTGTTTGGTTGTTTTTATTAATTTACATCAATCCATTCACTATGTAGTTCTTGGGGCTTAAACGATAATAGAGCTGCAGGCGAGTGCATCTCCTCTAGCCGACAATGAGGAGGCCCTCGTTGGGGAACTCGTGGGTGGGCACTTCCAGGTTGAGGGGCGCCGGTCCCTTGCGGATTCTGCCAGAGGCATCGTAATGGGAGCCATGGCAGGGGCAATAGTAACCGCCAAAGTCACCAGCGTTCGCGATGGGCACACAGCCCAAATGCGTGCAGACGCCAATAACCACCAGCCACTCTGGCTTGATCACACGTTGCTGGAAGGGATAAAAATTAGTTTCGTATTTATAATAGAGTAGGTTGAATGCCAGGCTTAAGAATCGCTTTCTTAGATCCCCACCATGAGATTCAACCTACACTTGGGATACCTACATCATCAGTTTCCGGATCGCGCAGCGTGGATGTGGGAACCTGGCGCTCAGCATCAATTTCCGACGCAGTGCGGTGACGAATGAACAGGGGCTTGCCGCGCCACTTGAATGTCACCGACTTGCCCTCGGGGATGTCAGCCAGCTTGATCTCGATCTTGGCCATGGCCAAAACTTCAGCAGAGGCGCTCATCGAACCGATGAAGGTATTGATCAGACCCTTGGCCGCATAGGCACCGCCCACGGCTCCGGCTCCGACCAGCAGGTAGGAGAAGGCCTTGCGCTCCTCGGCGGTCTCATTGCGGCGACGACTGTCCTTCACGGAGTCCCGGCGATAGGGGCTGAAGTCGGGCACCTGCAGATCGGTGTGTGCCTGGCGGTTAGCTAGAATAAAAGAAGGGAAATTAGTTCTACTACAGACGGACTCTTGTACACTACGTTTATAAGGGCCCCTGCGGGGTCTGCTCCAAGTTATATGTCCTCTATGCCAGCCAAGATGCACCTGCAGCTCCTGCCCACTTTTTGTTGTTATTGGGCGGAGGTTATGTTGAAATTACGTAAGGAAATTTGCCAAATCTCCTGGGAGCTGACTGCCAACGGAATCCCCTCTGGATATCCATGTGGAAAACACTGCCAAGTGCGGTTTCTGCTCCTCCGTTTGTTATGTAATTGATTGTTTTTCGCTGGCTGCTGCCTCCTCGCAGAATTCTTACCCATCGAGTTGACGGCCACGCCGCTCGCCCGCAGGCCGGTGGTGATGGCCTGGGCTCCGCCTCGGACGTAAGCACGCGACACGGCGTTCAGCATTCTGTGTTGTTGTTGTCGTTTAACGAATTTAAATTATTTTCAGGTCGAAAATTTCGACGTTCGTCGCTTTCGTCTGCTGCTGAGCACAGGGTTGCTTGGGCGATAATTAGGGTTGTCACCTATTGAAAATCAGCTGATGCACTGACAGTCTGGCAACGCAGCTACCAAAAGTACCAGACCAAAAGAAATTTTACATGTTTGTTACTTGTATCTGTATCTTTTTATTGTATCTTGTATATTATATCTGTATCTTGTATCTCATATATGTATCTTGTATCTGTATCTTGCATCTGCATCTTGCATTTGTATCTTGCATTTGTATCTTCTATCTGTATCTTGTATTTTTTGACACGTACTGTTATAAATATGTAAAAAACGTAAACTATAAATAACTGTTCTACATTTCGTAACGGAATTTCAAATATACAAAATTTAACCAAATTTAAATCTAAAAAAAAAAATATTGTTTATTTATTGCTTTTTGTTCTATCAAATATGAAATCTAAACTTTTGTTTTATAATCTAGACCTGACTTATTGCTTATTATTATTTATACAGCCCTGATTCTTTTTAAGGTTTTGCCATATTTCTAATAACAGTACCTTTGATAAGCTTAATACTTACTCAGTTTCTAGACACCGTTCATCTGTTATGTCAAGCGATTAATTTTCCTAATTGCAATGCTTTTTTATTTTCAACCCTTTCATCCCCCAAAGGTAATTTCTGATTCAGCTTCCACCCCGTTTAAATGAAAACTACGGTCCATCGAATTAGCAACTGCAACGACTTGGCTTTTCCGCAGATGAGAGAAGGGGTTTCCATGGAAAACCGCTTGGACTAACCACCACCAGAGTTTTCCCGCTGCAGTGTTTCCACATTTTACCCCGCAGCTTCATGATGTCATTGATTGAATTCAGCTTTGAAGCTGAAACTCTTCCGCAAGGCTGCTCCGCTTAGCCTAATTAATAAGTAAATTCATGAGCTATATTTTTCATTTTCCAAATCGTATTCTGGCTGATCTCATCGGACGCATAAAATGGCAATAAAAAATTGCATAAAAAATGGCTGAAAGAAATTTGTTATGCGCATATAAGAAGGCAACTGCCCAATATTTGGCCCAAACTTTAAAACCAAAAAAGCAAAACCCCGTAGTTGGAGGCAGTAAAAAGCGCGTGGAAAACTCACCCGCAGCCGGCTGAAATGTAATTCCTCTGGCGCCAGCCCTGTGATTATCGAAAGTAGTTCTTTTTGATGTCGAAAGTTTGCTGCCAGCTTCCTCCCCCTCGGTAGGTGGCAAGTGAAAGTGAAAGCTAAAGCGAAAGCGAAAGTCTATTTTCCAGCCAGAAGGACGGAAATCTGCGCACATAAAGGCGCCTCTATGTACTTGCCACCCAACAACAACACACATAAAAGGGGGGAAACCTGCATGGGTGGAGAGGGGTGCTGGAGGAGACACTACGGAAAAGTGCGTGAATTTTTGGCAAGAAACAAAAACAGACTGCAGGGGGTAGAGGGTATAACGATAAAGGGATGCTCTAACATGCGGATTTTATTAGAATTTTGAATCATTTTTAATAAAATTTACCTAGGTATTGGCAAATATAATTAATAATAATTGGAATTATTTATATTAATTTATTTTAAATCCATGTAAAATTTATTGGAAGCTCACGTTGTGTAAAGATATACAAATCTTCTCCTAAAAACACTTTTTGTTTTGTAAAAATTTAAGTAAATTAGTTTTTTTCTCTATAAAAAATCAACTTCCAACCTATTTCTATATATTAAACTTAATTATTTTTATTTTTACCCCGTCGCCCACTAGGTATTTTCGTTACTACCTTTATCTGAAAGTCTGGAGAGTCTGTTTTTTGGCAGTGCGTAGGCCAGAAAAGTTGAAACTATGCCGCGTAGGCGACGTGGCAACGACAGCCGCCCCTGACAGCCTCTCCCTTGCCGCCCCCCCTTATTTCCCAACCACCAAACCCATTCCCTCCCTCCTCGCTCTCAACCGCATCCCCAACTCAGTCAGGCTCCGACTGCGTTACACTTTTCAGCAACTTTTACATGGGAAACTGGCGCCAACTACAACAGCAGCAGTAGCAAAAAACAACAACAACAACAACAGCAACGGGCCTATGTTTCAACCCTGCCCCAGGGCAGCCACCCCCCTGCCGCCATTTCCCCCTCTTTAACCAACACCCCCGTCCCTATCAACATTGCCAATTCCTGGGCGGCGTGTGCAGCGTTGCGGCTGCGGCAGCAACAACAGCAAGTTCAGCGGTAGTAACCAAGGTACACAGTGAGAAATTGTATATAAGATTTCAAATATTTAAAATATATCTACATATATCTAATCTATATTTTATATAGAAAGAATATGATACTGATGGAAAAACAGGTGTTTCCCATATAAAACAGCTAAAATAACTTATTTCTTTTGCTTGAAGAAGAATCTTATCTAATTCCAATCCCAATTAATCTTGTTAAAAACATATGATCTTCACCCAAGTAACAAATTATAATTATAAATAATTATTTTTCTCTGTGTAGAAGCGACGACGTTGCCTGCTTATCGCTACATCAGCCAAGCAGAAAGCTCAGCCCCATCGCACACCAACCAACCATCCATCCATCCCCTTGGCAAAGTTGAAAGTGGAAAATTGTGCGTGGCAGGCAAAAGTTTTCGTAGGCCTCCTCCTGACTGACAGTCCTTACCAGATGCGGAGGCACTGCCACGCCCCTTGCAACCACGCAACCCCCGCCTCTCAAGCGCCTGCTACCCCTTCTCCCTCCACCCACAGAATTTACCCATTTACAAAAACGAAAATTAAATGAATCAGAATCATCTGTGCAGCGTCAGGAGGGTGTCGAGGGAGCCGAGCCTAAACACCAAGGAGCTCTGGATCCTGGAGCTCTCTGTGGCATGTGCAGCTCGGTGCTTGGATCCAAAAATTTGGCACAGCTGGCGGTCATTTATGTGCTTTTCTTGTGCTTCTTCGGGCTGGGTTTTGCATTTGAAATGATTATTTTTCCCCCGACCAATGTTGCCGTTGTTGGCCAAAAAGAGGCTCAAGACGGGGCCATTTTTGGCCAGTCGGATTAGGTGACCATGACAATGGCCCGGCTACGTGTGTTTTTTATATATATTTTACAGGATAGGCCCGAGGGACCAAGGACTTTAAGTTGACCAAGTAATGATGTTCCATTAGGTTTCTTTATTTTTATATTCTTATGTACAATTTTTATATTTTTAAATTGAATCAATGTAGGGAATTTGGGTTGGGTTGGGTTGGGTTGTGATAGCTTCTTAACTATTTCAATATGTTTTTTGCTTAAACACTTGAGTAAACAGTATACATTTTTAACTTAAAAACAACCTGAAATACATGTAGATTCCCAAAATATTAAAAAATAAAATCTACGTATCCATTTTATATATTTTTACCTTTGGATAATTGGAGGTCTTTTGAAATTTATGTGGCTTTTGAGACTTTATAATTATTTTGTTTGATTTATACATGTTAAATTTTTATTATTAACTTTTTTTGTAAATATTACTAAGCTAAAAATTTAGTTTTAAGGCAATTATCTATATACGTGGTATTTAAAATAAAAGAAAATGTAAAATTAACCTTATTTGTTTACCATTAAACCTTAGACCAAAATGTCTCTTTCCCTTTAATATTGAGTTCTCTGACATGTTCACTTCCTTTTTTCAACCCAATTTCCTAGTACTCACAGTTTAGCCAAACACTGTGCCACCTTTAGCTATATCCATTTCCGATCCCCAGTTCTTCTCCTCTCCCTCTCCCCCATTTCAGTCTTTATCTTCTTCTCAGCTTGAAACTTTGTCAACAACTCTCGCCTTGCCTTGCCTTCGGCTAAGTAAAAAGAATAAAGTTCCTCCAGCAGGATTCGTTTTTATTTTGGGTTTAAGCGGGAATGAAACCTGCCCTAAATTCGGCCAAGCGGCTTACAAAAAAGAAAAGTAAGAGAAGAAGGCAAGCACGCGCAGCAGGAAGGCATCCTGGAGGAAGCGAAAAGGGACTAAAGGAAACCGACTACGTTGCGTTTTGCCTTTTGCAAAATTCCTCTTTTGCGGAGACGCAGCACGCATAAATCTACGGGCCCCAAATTACATTATTTTGTCATTTTCATGGGGCGGGCGGGCGAGCGCCGGCCGCCTCCCCTTCTGGGCTGCAGTGTCCTGTTTGGTCCCGTGTCCTGTTTTCTGTTTGCCCGCCAGGCACATAAAACTCTGTCAAAAATAAACTTTCAAGAAATAAACCCCACGCACAGAAAACACAAAAAAATGCAAAAGCTCTGGGGCAAAAGTTTTTCCCAGCAAAAGAAAAGCGAGGCAAGTACATTATATGCAAGCAGTTACCTTGGTGGTGGGGGGATTTTCCGCCTGGGGTTGCTGCGTGAAAGCGAAAGTGAAAGTAAATGCAGTCGCAGTCGCAGTCGCTGCTGGCTTCGGCGCTGACTGCGCTGCCTCTGTCGCTGCCGCTGCCACTGCCACTGTCACTGCCTTTGCCCCATTTCCCAACCCCCATTTTCCTAAAACTCCCTGCAAGTATCCAAGGACATTGCGGCCATTAAAAATGTAGCGGCAAAAGCTTCGGCTCGTAACCAACATTTCTTGAGACAACTGCAACTTGGCTTGACTTTTCTCTCCCTCTCAAGCTTTCTCTCAGGACTTGCTCTCAGGACCTTCTGCATTGTTTATAACTATTTCGTGGGAAATGCGCCTGCGTTGGCTCTCACTCTCTCTCTGTCTCTCGTGAGAACTTTCACTTTCCTCGGCTGCCTTGTCCTTCGCCTTCAACTTTCGCTTTCACCCTGAAAGTTCGACGACGTACCTCTCTCTCTCTCTGTCTCTCTCTCTCTCTGACTGGCTCTGCTGTCTCGCTCTCACTGTGGCAACTTCCTGTGTGGGCTTCCGGTTTTGTTTTTACAACTGATAAGGCGTCCTGCCGGCGCTTTGGACCTCGTGTCCTGCCTCCCCCCTGAAAAGTATGCTATGCTTCGCTCGCTCTCTTTTGGCGACCAGCATGGCGCCACTCTCTGCTTCTTCTTTCGGCCGCTGTTATTATGGCTGTGCGTTGCAAGGATCAAGGACGTTCAAGAAAATCCACGGCCAAGAACATGGAAGCCGAAACAAAAACAAAAACCCAAAGAGAAAAACAAAAACGAAAAGGAAAAGTAAAGCCAAAGTAAAGTAAATAGAAAAAAATGCAGGGCGTTTTGTGCCATCTTGGGAAAAGGGGGGAGGGAGGTTGGGCAGGGGGAGGGGAGGGAGGCTAGCCTGCGACTTTGACATGGGTCTCTGGGTTTGAGTGCGGGGTTTTGTGTTGTGTTTTTTTCGGCTGCAGCTTTCATGTACTATATATATATATATATATATACATTCCTGGCCAGATGTGCGTGCGCCGGCGCCTATATAAAACTTTCTTTTTTGGGGTGGTGAGGGAAACGGAAATGTAGATGGGGGTGTGGAATTTACTGCAGTCCTTTATGGGCGAGAAGAAGAAGAAGCAATCTCACTCCTTGGCATGGGAGAAGGAAATTTTGGTGGAAACTCACACCCATTAGACGTCGACCACTCGCTGCGTTTGTAATTTTGGCGCCTTTGTGCGTGTGCAGCGGTTGAATGAAAGGTGGGGGGGCGAAGTGGAGACCGGGAGAAAGGAGGAACGGGAGAAACTGGAGAAAGAGAAATAGAAAGGGCAAATGAGGAAAGAAACAAGGGGACCCGGAGAAGGTAAAGAATGGGGTCCTGTGGGCTCAGAGGGGCTTGCACAGTGACAGAATGTAATTTGATATATTTTCTGAAGGCATTTCCGATGCGTAATGGCTTGGGATATAGTTAGGAAAATTATTTTGGATTAACTTGAAATAGATTTAAAAAATGAAAAATATATTTGAAATTTTCCTGAATTCGTGTAATTCGTTTATCTAACTTTGAAATAAATAGATAGTTTAAAGATAAAAATAATCCCTATAGTTCTTTGATTTAAGTTGGTTCTAGATAGTGTAAAATTAATCATTTAGAATTAATATATAAATAAATAATGATCCAACTACATAAACAGTGTATTACAATTTAAATTAAGAACGATTAAATATTTATAAAGAATTAAAGAAAGAAATGCCATTGGTAAATGAAATATCTGAAATATTCTTAGTGTGTTTTAAAATACTTTAAAAATATATTCCCATAATTATTATTAATTTCCTAAACTCTAATTGTTAAAGAGTAAATAAAAAATTGTAATATAATAATTAATTAGGAATTATCCTCACATTTTAAGTCATGTAAAGCTGCTTTTACCTAACATAAAGTTTGAAAAATAATTTGTTTGTGGCTATAAACAAAAATGCAATAAAAACATAATAAATATTCTAAAATAATATTAAAAAAAAATATATAAAAATAATTAAAGTTCTATATTTTATTATTATATGAACAATTATATTTTAATCCCTTAAAAATCAAACACTTTCTCACCGTGTAACAGGCATATTTCCCTCAGTGTTATGTGAGTGACGTTGACTCCGTTGCGGTTGTTGCTGTTCTTGCTTTTTGGGTTCTATGTGGCACTTATATATACGACATACATATGTATATATGATACGTATATATAGGCAGCTGTAGTATATAGAAGTTGGATCCTTCCCGCATCCTTCACTTGCTTTCGTGTTGCAGGCCTGCTTTTCACCAAATTGCGTAGTTTCGGTCGGCTTTTGTTGATTCCTTTTCGCAATGGCAATGCAAGAAAGGCGAAAACATTTTCCCCGGCTCCAGATTTTCTTTGTTTGGCATTTTCCGCCTTTGGCTCTTTTCGCCTTCACCAATGTGGGTCGTCTGCTACTGCTGCTTGGTGTTTTCCTTTAGCTTTTCACGGTGCCATGCAGTGCACACTAATGTGTGTGTGTGTGTGTGTGTGTGCCTTAGTTTAAAGTAATTTTTCGGAAAATTATACAACGGGAGTTGGGTTGAATTTTCCAAGTTGCGGCCGTAGCCTTCTGTTTTTGTTTTTTTCCTTTTTTTTGTGAGCCGCCCTTTGGTTTTCCAAGGAGTGGCGGAAATTCTCTTTGAGGTTTGAGGTTTTATGTTGTCAGATTCCTTCTATTCCTCTTGCCCTCCCCCTTCATCATCTTTGCTTTTTTCCAAACAGTTTCTACGGTTTTCTAATAAAGTGCCTTGCTTGTGGCCAAGTGGTATGAGTTGTAGGCTTGGTTAGCTCGACAATTAATTGCAATTTTAAAGCTACAAAAATAACAGAGTTAGAGAAATTCCGGGAAATTTGGAGTAGCAACTGAGAAATGCACTTAGAATGATAGTCTTAAGTGTTTTATGATGGTAGTTTGGGAGTAGTAAATATATTTTATTTATATTTAATTTATATAAATGAAGTACGAAATAATTGATAACTTGTTACCTATTCCTAATATTAGGCTTTACTTTTTTAAATAGTTTTCTTTTGAAAATGTAAATATAATGGCAATTAAAATATTGTATTAAAAGGGAAAGCATTTATTACATCTTGGAGCGTTTTAGTTTTTTTGATTTTAATTTCAAATTCACACTTCAGTCTTCTTAACTATGTATATCCAAATTAATTAAATAAATTTAGTTCTTTATTTATTCAATCAAATGTTGCATTTTACATACACCAATTTCCCCTTAAGCCATCATTTCACTTTTCTTCATTCATGATTTCCACTCTCAATTTCACGGAAAATGTCAGTCACAACATCCTGCTACTGTCTTTGCGCTCGCCCTTTCCTGTTTTAATCTCAACCCTTCCAGGACAATTAAAAAACCGTCAGGATTAAATGTATTTGTAATTATATATTAGCTGAAAACGCTCTGTGCTGGTGTGTGTGTGAGTGTGCTTTTCCTTTGGGTTTTCTTTTGAGCTTTGATGCTGCGAGGAGCATGGCACATAGAAAATCCCGCTGCTATGTACAAGTTTTCAGGAACATAGGAGTGAGACAAGGGAAAGGACGCCGACAGGAAACACGAGCAGCAGGAGCGCCAGGAGGTGGGGCAGGAGTAGCATCAGCAACAGCAACATCACAGCCGGCTTGCATTGACAAGACATTACACTGTAAGAAATAAATATAATAATAATAAACATGGGTATTTGAATTGTGGAGTTTCAATAAAATTGTTAAAGTTTAATAGGAAATAAATAAAATGATTTTAATTGGAAATTAGTACAGAAAATAAGAGTCTAAATTTAAGCTTAAATTAATACTATATCTTTTTATTTTAATAGTGTAATTTTGTACTTAAATTTTAGTCTTATTTAATAAATTTCTACCAATTTTTCTGTTAAATATTCCACAATTACAGCTCTTTTCTTTCAGTGCCTCTTTTCGGCCTACGCACAAACACCATCACAGGGCGAGGGGCTCACACAAACACCAAGACAAAAGCACACCCACACAGATGCAGAGTAATTATGTTTCGCCAGCAGCTTCTTTCCCCCTCCAACCCTCAACTTGGCTCCTTTGGTATTTTTAGTTGCTGCTTCATTTTCTTCTTTCATTGCATATCTCCTGGGCGCTCTCCCCTCTCTTTATCACTCTCTTTTCTCCTTCTTATTCTACCCGTCTCCTTTGCTCCCACAGGACTTGGAAGGGGGGGTTGAATAGGCTCAATTGAAATTTGAGGATTTTTGTCTCAGTGCCCTAATTAATTTTACGTACCATGAAAATCATTGTTTGTTGCTTTTGCTTTTGCTATTTTGTTTTTGTTTTTGTTGTATTGTTACGCATAGCGTACATGGGAATAATGCAAAAGTGAATGTTTTTGAGTGTGTGTGTATTTCTTATGTTTGTGTTGCTTGTTTTTTTTTCTGCTTGTGTATTTGAGGAGGAAGGGAAATAATAAAGAAGGTCAAGGTATTAAAGGCTCAATTGAAATTTGAGGATTTTTGTCTCAGTGCCCTAATTAATTTTACGTACCATGAAAATCATTGTTTGTTGCTTTTGCTTTTGCTATTTTGTTTTTGTTTTTGTTGTATTGTTACGCATAGCGTACATGGGAATAATGCAAAAGTGAATGTTTTTGAGTGTGTGTGTATTTCTTATGTTTGTGTTGCTTGTTTTTTTTTCTGCTTGTGTATTTGAGGAGGAAGGGAAATAATAAAGAAGGTCAAGGTATAATTATAATTAACATTATCTTGTTATTCTTTTTTAATAAGTATTTGTATATTTTTCATAAAAATCATTAGACGACTTGATCTAGACATCTGTTAAAAATAATACCTATTTTTTACGCAAACCTTTTTAATATGCTTAATTAATTTTGGTTAATTTGTTTTGGAAACCTTTACACTGCCGCAACTTATTGAGTTACACTACTTCAATATTTTAACAGTGATTTTTTATTAACTCCACAGATTTATAGTTCACCAAAAATATCAAATTCAGTAATTCCATATTCCAGCAGACATCTTTGTGTCCATTTATCAATTTTGTCCACTTGCTCAGAGCTTAACTCATCCTTGTAAGAGCCAATTATTCCACGACGCATGAAGCTAAACAAGGAAATACAGATTACAATCAAGAAACTTACATAAAAAAGTTTTAAAACTTACTCAAAATTATCTTTGGTTTCATAAGCACTTTTAAAGAAGTTGGTGTGGTTTCCAAACTTGCTCTCTGAAAGAAAAATATCACTTGAGTTAATTAATTAAGAAAAACTTTACAGATGTCCACTTACCCTTCATATTCTTAAAATTTAAGTGGTTTAAAAGTTTCTCCATTTCACAATCACTCAAGTCTTTGTAGCCCAAGAACCTTGATAATCTCTTCACTACATTCTCAAGATCTCGAATCATCTCCTCGTAGGTTACAAAAAATATATTCTCTTCAGAACGCATTCTATAAAAGTCAACAAGATGCGTCCAGTACGGATTAAAGGCAATCTTATCCGCAATAAAGTCATCAATAAATTCATCCAAGTTGCCTTTCCAAGCAGAGATTCCGTGAAAGAAATGATATGTAGATATTATAACATCCTTGGGATTTCGAGCCACGTAAATGGTTTTACGTCCTTGGGTCCAGATTTCTTTGGGCAGAAATTGAGCAGGTAAATGGGATTTGATCAGGCGAGGATTACTCTGAATTTTATCACATGTTTCTATGGAATCCGCATGAACGGATGTATCAACTCCAGACTGCCTGCAAATATTTTAATTAAATATTATTTTAACTTTAACTTAAACTTAACTTTGACTTCAACTCACTCTAGATAAGGATTGCGAACATTTCCGTATTCGCTGAGAGCTCCTTCGTAGTCCAATTTATTAAGCAAAAGCCAAGCCAACTCCTGCATCCAAGTCGAACCGCACTTCATGACGGATACCAAGAAGACATCAGAGTCCCGGGTATTGAAATCATAGATCCTCTTGGCATAATCTTCGGTATAAGGTGCGGAAAGTGAGCACCATCGCTCACTCCAATCCTGTTCCAAGGGCAGCCACTCAGGACCCGATCCGTTTGAAGCTCGGCAGTGCACCACAACCCTTTCGTACATGATCAACCTCACTCAGCAAATCTTTAAGCGCGACAGAAACCTGCATCATTTTGTGTGTGGCTTTTATAGAAGAACAACCATAAAAGCTAACAAGATTGAAATAATTGAAAAACTTAATTTTAATAATTAATTTAACCGGTTATTTAACTCTAGCTAAAACCAGAAGAAAAGATAGCTCTGATTGCAAAGTGAGAAAGAAGAGTTTTATGGAAGAAGAAAATATATAAAATGTATAATATTTGTACTATAAATTATGAATGTTTTCTAAGGCAAATTCATTTTATTAACTTAAAAAAGTACACATATTTTGAAGCCTGCATTAATTATCAATGTTTAAGCATAAGCAAATACATAAAATATCTTAAAATGATTTCATCAACTGACCTTTTCATAAACAAAATAAAAAACTCAAACGAGAATATGAGTGTTTTTTTAATAAAGTCAAACTAATCAACAATATAACTATCACAAGCAAGTGGTGCTGGTTTTCTTTTCAAATACACTGCAAACTAGTTCTATTAAATGTAATTTCTATTATTAGAATTTAATTCTATTAGAGAATTTAAGAATTTTACCAAATTCCTTAAGATCAAGCAAAAATTATCGAAAATAATTATTAAATTCTTATTTAATATATTGTTAAAAATGTGTAAAATTTCTCTTAGTGAAAACAGGTTTCTTTATGCAATCAAGAGTGCAAAAATTTAATTAAAATTTATGAAAACATATTGTTTTGTCTCTGAACTAATGTTGCGATCACCTGCAGTAAGAAGGTAGGTTATTTAATCTCCAAACAAAACGAGAAATATTTTTCATAATATTTTTTTAACACTTTGTAAAATTTAAGAAAAATATGTATGATTTTTGGGCAAGTGCTTATTATCAAAAAATTAGCAAAATTATTAACTTCTTCAAAGGCTAAGCAAATTTATTCAATAATTTTTTAAGGTATTGATTTTTTTAATTCATGATTTTATTTGACTTAAAAATATTAGAACACATTTTTTTAAATTAAATTTAATTTAAATCAGTGTTGATCTTAATTTATTTCCACGTTATTATATTTCACCAAAAATGTCCGATTCACTAATTCCATATTCCTGCAGACATCTTTGCGTCCATTTATCAATTTTGTCCACTTGCTCAGAGCTTAATTCATCCTTGTAAGAGCCAATTATTCCACGACGCATAAAACTAAAAACAAAATAACTTACAAATAATTAAAAATTACAACAAATTCTAAAAACTTACTCAAAATCATCTTTGGTTTCATGAAAAGTCTTGAAGAAATTGGTGTGGTTGCCAAACTTGCTCTCTAAAAGAAAAGTCGCAACTAAATTCATAAGTAAACCTAAGAGAAAGTGTACCAACCTTTCATATTCTTAAACTTTAAGTGGTTTAAGAGTTTCTCCATTTCACAATCACTCAAGTCTTGGCAGCCCACGAAACGAGATAATCTCCTGATCACATCCTCGAGATTTCGAATCATTTCCTCGTAGGTTACGAAAAATATATTCTCTTCAGAACGCATTCTATAAAAGTCGATAACATGTGCCCAATGCGGATTAAATGTTATCTTATCATCAATGAAGCTATCAACAAACTGGTCCAAACTCCCTTCCCAAACACCGATGCCGTAAAGGTAGTGATATGTAGATACTACAACATCTTTGGCATTTCGAGCCACATAAATGATTTTACGTCCTTGAGTCCAGACTTGTCTGGGCAGGAATTGTGCAGGTAAATGGGATTTGATCAATCGGGGATTAGTCTGGATTTTATCACATGTTTCTAATGAATTTCCTGGGAAGGCTTCGTCGATACCCGAGTGTCTACAAATATTAAAAAAAATATCAGGGATCTCCCGATCACTCTCAAGCCTAATTGTATATTTAACACTCACTCTAGATAAGGATTGCGAACATTGCCGTATTCGCTGAGAGCTCCTTCGTAGTCCAATTTATTAAGCAAAAGCCAAGCCAACTCCTGCATCCAAGTGGAACCGCTCTTCATGACGGATACCAAGAAGACATCGGTTTCCCGGGTGGCGAAGGCATCGATTCGCTTTGCAAAATCTTCGGTATAGGGTCCAGAAAGTGTACACCATCTCTCACTCCAATCCTGCTTTATGGGCAGCCACTCAGGACCCGCACCATTGGGTCCTGTACACTTTACCAGGACAGTAGTTCCAATTAGATTAGGATATTCAATACACTTAAAGTCGTACATGATCTTTAAGACGCTGGAAGTCTTCAAAGGCGACTAATGGTTAAAGTGGTTGAAAGTGGCTTTTATATGGAACCAGCAGAAAGATAATGATATTTTTTTCTTTATCATTATCTTTCTACTTTCAACTCTTTTCTAGTTTATAGCTGAAAGATATCAATATAATAAACGCAGTATTATCTTGCTCACCATTTAAATATGATCCATGAGTAGTAAGGCCACATGTTTTTGCTAATTCTATAAGATAATGCACACTGAAGAATTAGTTAAGGCTATAAACGTTGGTTAACTGTAGAAAAAATAGGAACACAAAAAAATAAGTGCATTAGGGTGTTAAATTCATTGACTTTTTTGGAGATACTTTATAAAACATTTTTAATAAGCTATATTATTTTAGTTTATTTTATTTTTAGTTTAAAATAATCTATAACTATCTTTATTTTTAAGTGTTTTTATAACCGTTATCTATAACATTTCTTCAATGATCTCATTTGAAATCCTTGCTTAGCCTCTCTTGTATCCTTGAGAAACGCTTTGGGTTTCCTTTTTGTTATTTTCTTTTCGGTTGAAACGATTTTCCTCCTGCTGAATATTCATTTTTTGTGATCATTTGCATCTTTAGTACCACGAACACCCTGTTACAGTGATTTGGCCCCAAACCGAAGCTGGAATCTGGTATTTCTAACCAGAAAAGGGGAACCCGCTTCTCTCTGGGCTTTTCCTTTTGGCTGCCCACGTCTCATCGTTGCTTGGGAAATTCGAGAAAATTAGGTTATGCCTTTGTTGTTGCTGCTGCTGTTCTTGTTTTCCATTCTTCTCCCTCTCCCAGCCTTGTTGGTTTCCACGTTTTTTTTTTTCTCCTAGGTAATTAAATGCTGCCCGGCTGGACCGCAGTTACCAAGGTGGAAAAAGGGGGAGGAAAGTGGGTGGTGGTTGGGGACTGCTGCTAATCAGCAATCCCAGTCGATCTGGTTTTAGCCCCCGTCCCCTAGCGATGGGTGGGTAATGGGTGGGTGGTGGTGGAAATTATGCAAATACTGAACGGCGGCGTAAATTTTGTAGAACAAGGAATGTGGAAATTGTTTTTTCATTGCTGCATTCGGGAAAATATGCTCCCGGTCACAGTGAAAATTTTAATTAAAACTTGACAACACTAAGACTTGAGTTGCATTGCAGATTAAGTATTGTATTTATAACTTTAAATTTAAATTTGGTAAATATTAAGTTTGTAGCAGTTTTTAAGAGGTTTCTATGACAGCCAATCGAGGCACATTTTTGTGGCTAATTCAGAGATTTTCCTAAATCCTTTTATGAAATTTTAAGCTTATATTAGATATGAATTTGTGTGGAAATAGCTTAGATTTTTCTGGTTTTTCCATATTTCCCTTATACCACATTTTACTGCAACAACCTTATGATTTATTTACCATCTCCGTATTCTTTGTTGCCTCCTTTTGCTTGGCTGTGTCGCTGTGACCATTAAATTAATTGCAATTTATCGATTTTCAAATTGCAATCTCAACGGACCATAAAAAATATTGCTTCCCAAAAAAATACCATTCCATCCTCCTTCTCCCACAAAAAATCCATTTCCGCATATCATGGCGAAAAATGCCGCAGCACGAGCAGATAAAGGCTATGAGAAGGAGCAGCAGGAATCATTGGACTATAACTGGGTCTGGGTCAGGTTTTGGGTAAGGGTTCTGGGGCTTTTGGCCTAAGGCTCTGCCGATGCGTTGCATCCACAGCCATTCCTGACAGCTGCAAAAAAGTCGTGGTCTCTGGTGTATAGAAATAAATTGTTGGTCTATGCCGACGAGGGAAGGCCTCACACACTGCGTATACGTGATGTGGGAGGGAGGGCTGAAAAATAAATGGAAAAGAGTGAGGAGAGGAGCTAAAGAGAGTAATACTTTTTGGATATATATTGACTACATAGTAGGGTATATTCTCAAGAGAAAAATCATAACAAAATGTAACTAATTTTTAAATATTTCTTTACTTTTGCTCATAAATCAACCATTAGTTGAAGCTTCTGTTACTCTAATCTTAAACTTTCATAAAGGGTATGCCAATATTCGTAACCTTTTCTTTTTTGATTTATATTTTTCTCCTGCTGGTCAACAGGCGAGCAGAGCAATAATGAAAAATATATGTGAGCACCATTAAAATACATCAGATAGGCATAGATCACATGCTCAGTGGGTCCCTCTGCCTGCGTATATGTGTGCTCCCGTGTGTTTTTTCTTTGCGAGTGTGGGTGAGGTGTGTGTGTGTATGGGTGGGTGGTTGGTGTGTATAGTGTGGTCATTTGCTTGCCACATGCATTGCTGCTGTTGTTATTGCGTTATCTTTGCTGTCACAGCAACGTCAGGCCATGTCCTTCCATACAGCTTTTTTTTTTTTCTTCATCAACTGTGGGTGTGTGTGTGTGGGCTCCCCAAGGGGTTGCGTTTGTGTGTGTGTTTGTTGTGTTGTGGGGGAAAAGATGGGGAGTAAAACGAAGCCTGGTTAACTTTTTATGCAGGCCAAAATAGATGATGGCTCGTTAGTTAAATGCAAAGACTGGCTTTAATGTTACTTTAATGAAGTGAAGTCGTTACTTAAAGGGGGGAAAATGAAGTATAAGGGGAGATTAAAATGTAAAAAATTAAGTAAAAGGGGAGTAAAGAAATGCCAAGATTTGTTATTGAAAAAATAACATAACAAAATAATCTACTTGCTTAAAAAAATTCTTCAACAAATCTTGAATACCTCTTAACTTTTATAAAAATATTAATAACAATTTCTGATGACTCCTTGAAATGTCCTGTGACTCTACCCCATAACCTATTCTCCCTGGACTTTCTACCTTTAATAATAAATCTCTTAAATTGCCATTGGACGTTTCCTGAGAACATCGAAATAGCCCATTGACAGAAGAATTTAAGTAGCTTATCCTCCAGGACCTTCAGCTACCAAACCTCCCCTTCCTCCCTCAGTTCAAGCCAAATTTTGTGTTGGCAATTTAAACTTGTTTCTAGCCAAGTCTTGGTGGAGGAGCTAAGCTCGAGTGGTGCCCCTTGACTTGTTCTACTTGTTACCAAGCAAGGAAGGTAAACCTCCTGGCCAGAGGCAACTTTAGTTCGCATGTGTTGTGGTCTTTCATCATGGTGGAAGGAGTCTACAACAAAACCAAATACAAAATACAAAAAAAAAATAGAGAAAAAAAAAAGAATTCCAAGAAGGGACGAAAAACGATGGTTGAGGCCCACATCAAGTATGCGCACTGTTGGCCATGCCAACCATACGAAAAAAGAGCAAAAAATAAAGTGTGTGTGTGCTACAGGGGGGAACCAAAAAAAGAAAGTTGTGTGAAGTGCCAAGGCTACCCAATACCCAAACTCTTGTGAATTTTTCCGGCAACCCGGCGAAGTGCGTGTGTCTGCATTGTAAAAACTTTTAATGGCCAAAAACAGCCAGGACTCTCGGTGCGAATCGAAGTCGCTTTTAGGCCCCCCTCAGGGCTGCTGCTGCTGCATATGTGAACCACAGGTGCTTGGCTATAATGCCAGCCAATGCCACCCATTACCACCCACCGCCACCCAACTCCAACTCAAACTCCCCCCGTCATATCCTTGAACATTTTTCGTTAACAACTTTACAGCTGTTGCCTCAATTCCCGGCCATAATCATTAACATTATTGCCCAGATTGCCTGGCAAAATACTGGCTTTAAGTTTGATTTTTCCCGTAAACTTCCGTTTTAGCTTTTCCTTCTTTTCCCGTTGTTACTTTTTCTCTCCCAATGCATTTTCAATATACAGTTGACAACGTCGACAATTTATTTGTGTCGGTGCCATAAATCAAAAATGCGTAAAAATTTTTACTTCGTACGCATTGGACAGGATAGGGCACGCCCATCCACCTTCAGACCATCCTCTGTCCTGTTGGCAGGCCCCAAAAAAAAGAATATATATATATATTTAGGGGGAAAGGCCCATTATCATCATCAACAGTCAGCAAAATGGCCCAAAAAGGGGGGCTGGGGAGCTCGGAAGGTAGAGAACCAGCCGGAATAGCAACAAGCAGGCGCACCTGAAGCTCACAGCAGGCAGGATACGGGCGGGGCCAGTTTGGAGAGCGAGGGTTGCTTCAAAATTTATAAAAAATATTGAAAATATTGAAAATATATAAAAATATAATTGTAAAATATTTAAAATCTAAATGCTAACATATTTTCCTGCACCTAGCTTTAAATGGAATTATTTTTAATAATTATTGAATAATAATAATTATAATAAAATCTAAATAATTATTAACAATTATAAAAGCAAAGGTTATCTGTAAGCATACATATATATATATTTCAAACCTCACTTACTGCACCTTGCTGAGCACATATTCCTTAATCGCCCCTCGCTGTACCACCCCTTTTTGTGAATATTTTGGGCAACAACGTTGCAATAACAACAGCAGCAGCAGTAGCAGGAGCAGCACGAACACAAACACCGCAGTAGCAGCTACTGCCAGAAGCAGCAGAAGCTGCAGGAAGAACCCAGGAAGGGAGCAGGAGCAGGAGTTGGAGACGAAGGACGATGAGAAGTTGGCAGCAGGGGGCGGTTAAAAGCAGAAGGGCATGGGGCCCAAAAAGGTGCGTACAATCATTTTATTGATTTATATGCCGAAGCTATTACAACTGACATTCGAATTTTCCAACCTGTGAGGGAGTGAAAATGTGACCGGTAAAGTGGGGGGCCCCAAGTGGGTGGTGAGTGTGTGGCAACCCTGAAAATGCCAAAAAATTGCTGTTATAGCTGTTGCTGCTGTTGTTGCTTTCACTGATTTTCCTGTTGTCATTGCCTTTTTTAGTTTTCTTGTTGTTGTTGTTGTTGAGGCTGCCTCGTGGCCAAAATGTCCTGGTTGCCCCAGCAACGTGCAACAACTCCCGGGGAAAAGCAAGGAAAAATGAAGACGCAGCCGGAAAAGCAGCAGCAGCAGCATCTAAAGATATGGCATTGGCAG